AAATAGAGGGCTAAGGAAAATTCCTTTCACTACCCCCCCCCCCCCCAGCCCACGTCCATGCGCTTTTTTCTCAATGGGTTAATTGCTCCACTTAAAATATACTGGCTTTGATGTAGGGATTGCAATATTTGTTTTCTCCGATACTCCCGTCATACTATATAGATTTAGAAACCACAAATCGTCATAGGTGTACACCAAATCCTTTAAGAGTACACTGATTTAATTACAGGAAACGACGCCTTCCGCACAAGTGTCAGTGTCCGCCGTGCTTACGATCAAGGAAATTACTCTTTTACCAGTAATGGTTTACTTTTGAATATCGTTCTAGTTCTGAAAACTGATACTTGGTGATATACTGAAATTGCAATAAATGCTTACAGCAATATTTCTGAAATTTTCTACATTGTTTTAAACTTCATCTTGTACATGTAGATGTAACGTACTGAGTAGCCTACTTTTAAGAGAGAAACTTATGCGCCCAAGCATAACCCATACAAATGAAGAGCATTCAGGCGTCACCCAAGCGAACTCTATGTCAAGATTCTCATTTCGTTTTCTATATGCTTTTCATTTTATACGCTTTTTTCGATATCTAGAATTATTTAAACAACATTAGTTTAATGTCCCTATCCCTTCAGCTAGATAAAGAGAAAAAGTCAAATTAATAGGCATTCTCGTCAGCTCCATTGCTGATCTTACGTGATTGGCTTTGAAAAGTGTAACCTAATTTACGGCCGGAAAACCGTCCATCCTTATTTTCTTAAAGTTTTTTTTTACATTGAAAATACGCAATCTAACTGTTATATTCTCTAATTATTGGCCAATCGTACTGCAATCTGACGTAAATACAGACTTGACATTTAATATGGAATATTTCAGTTTTGAAGGTATGCCTAGGTAAAAATGCATTCTTTTTTCAAACAACTCCGATCTCATATAAAATATGAAAATGGAGAAGTGTTAACTCAGGTATGTTGCTACTAATTAACTGACTACCATGTCTGTTGCACTGCTGTATTTTGTAATATGCAGTGATTTAATTGGGTAGTGCTCCTTAGGGCTGGTCAAAGCTTGGCTTCGGCAAAGCATGATTCTGTCAAAAAAGTATCCATATATCGGCAACTACTGCACAGAGGAATTAAAAATTTTGCATACAAGCGGTCGGTTTTGCAGTGCGTAAAATGAGCCAAAAAGTGTTTTACAGAATTGTTAATCTGTGGCAGAATGGCGCGAAAAAGACAGACATTGCCAGACAGATTATTGCGCCAAACGGGACGGTCCGCACAGTTTTATAGAAGAATGCCCAGACTGATGTACCTAGACTGAGGTCTCACCCAGTGTATCTAAACCTTCCACCAGGGTATAGGACTCGCTGTCTTTCGGGATATGCTGCTGCAACTAGACAAAAACCACCCAGGCCGTTCAGAAGGAGGGGTAAAATGCCACCAAAACACATTTGTAAAGGTCCTTAGCCAAAAACCAAACTGGTTTTAGCAGGTTAGAATACCAGACGACCTCCGAGGAATCAACAGTAAACAGCAAAACATCGTCGTCTGTTTCTCTAATGAATTGGGGACCATTTACGTTTCTGGGTAGAACACTGAAACCGCGTGGTTTTCTTTATTGAGCGCAGATTTCACCTGTACCGCTCAACTAGTCATAACAGTGTTTACAGACATCCAGAAGAGGCCTACGACGAAGCGTGTGCCGCGTCTTAAGTGACTAAGGTCATTGACAGTGTCAGTATTTGGAGTGGATACCACATTGGTGCCAAAACACCAATGGTAGTCATTGATGAAAACCTGAACTAGATCAAATAAAGGAATAATCTGGTAATCATGTGACTATCATTTGATAGGGGGCACCTTAGGAACAATTTTAGGTTGCATGGTGAGAACGCCGGTTCACACAGAGCACAATAAATAGCAGATAACTTACAGAACCAAGGGAATGGGCAGCTACCTTGGTCATCAAAATCGCCATATTTGAACCACATAGACAATATGTCGGTAGACCATTATTCGCCGAATCAACAGCTTACATGTCCTACAACAAAACTGGACCAAAATTGGACAAGTTTTGACCGACGCCTGGTATGTTATTCCAGACTGAACTCTAAAAGACCTATCCCAATAAATGTCTTGCCGCTTGGGAGCCCTGGTAGCTGCTAGAAGAGGTCGGGGGTAACAGCGACCGTTGCTGTAACTAGACACTGACATGAGGTTCTTTTGTGGGGCCTGTAACTCTTTTACACACGATAATTAGAAAAATATGGAGATCCAAAATATCGTTTTTAATGGTTGTCTTATGAGATAGAATATGCAATGTAGTTTTGTTTGCTTCCCTGGCGAGTTCAATGAATGAACTGATGTCACAGTTACACCAAAGAGATAATTAAAAGTTATTAAAACACGATTTTAATTCTTATTTTTATTTATCAGTGAGCAAAATAGGAAAAGATTGATGAAAAATGATTTGGAAAAAAATATTCCATATTAAATGTCAAGTCTGTACTTTGAAAATGTTGAGGAGTCCACCATTTTGTGGCGATTTGTTTCAAAGTAGCGGATCATCTCGTGTAGGCCTTGGCGAACACGTTAGTTCAATCGACCTTATCGACATATATTAAGATCTCTAAACCCCTTATATCCCATGGGGGCGTATATTACGCCAAATGTCCATTTTACAGAAAATATTGGGGTCTAACTTCAACTATAAATGTGGATAAACTGGGGAAATGATACTCAGTAAAAAAAGCGGCTTACAGACGCCGGCGTCTCCACTCGTAACATATTTCGATTAATAATCTCCGAGATATCATGTTCCAGACGTAACCTTCTATTATACAGCACCTCTTCATCAACTTAATTGTGTTTCCCGGAACAAGTAACACGGGACGATCCCTCAGAGATAAGCAGACAAGATCCGAAATCATATTACTTGGAAATGACTATGATTTTGCCATTCTAATTTGAGGTATGGGAAGACACCAGGAAAAGCCCTTATTAATCTTTTGGTGCATAATCCTATTGATGTTTTGATTTATGCAACAATATTATCCATTTAGAATAATAACGAAAGTGTGATAACATTTCTTGGAAAATATCTGTATTATGGTGATTCCCCCTCACATAGATACGGACAACAGTATTTATCAGCAAAACTATTCCGGTATATTTCTGTACTTAGAAGAATCCTATTTTGTGCCTTGTAATGGTTAGGGGTGGGGTAGCTTTTGCACCTTATTAACGTGTCCAAAGCGTAAAATATTTTATTAATTTTTTGGCCAGATACTTTTCTGTGTAGTGGGTATGGATGCGAGTTAGCCCTTTGTGAAGGAAGCGAGAAAATCTTCAACGCTTAGTTATATCAAAACACATGGATCCAGCTTTAGAAAGGGCATTTAGCAATAACGCTGGTTAGTTTCTATCGCCCTTTATCAAACTGGACCCTGGATATTAGGTAGTATCTCATCATTCTGTCATTAATTAGGTTTGTTTCTAATATGTTCAACTAACCAGGAGAACCTCATTTCTCCATTCACACTAAAGAGCAAATGTACTTTAATACCAGAAGGAAAAAAAACCCCAGAAATTGTTAATTTACAGTGTCATTATAATTTTTCGCGTCCTTTGTTTTATCAACATCGAAGTGACAATTCATCAGATTGACCATCAATATGGAAAATCAATTAACAAATTCCCGGTTGTCTTCAGCCATTGTTTGTACTTACTGACAATTAATCACTGTTTCAGAAAGTAAAGCCAGGGATGATTAATGTTTGAGCGTATTTGAAATATATTGAAGTGAAAAAGTAAAAAAACACTTTGTTCCACCTTCCAAGAAGGTGACATTTCATATGGCAGCTGCTTATTCTATTGTCTTTCAAATAATAGCACGTGCTCTGATATTAACCAAAATATTAATTAAAAATGTCTTAATTGCGTGTGTAATTTCGCGACAAAATGAAGTCTCTTACATTTAAACCGTGTCACACTATATATATATCCCTCCCCTTATTAACAGAAAAACATGGTGTTCATGATTATTGCTAGAGGAATTTTTACCAAGACAGTTTAGAATCTGCTGTACCAAGGTGCCTAGATCGTTTAAATGTATCAGTTGAGCTAAGAGTGTCGTTGTCGCAATTACATGTAATTAATCCAACCACAATCGTCAAATCACGGCTCGTGGATGAACCGAAATCATAGAAGGGAGCAACATGGATTAGTCCAAAAAAGGAAAACAAGATTTTCAATTTCGGAAATGAAAAGGGAAGTACCATCGATTACTCTATCGCGGTCACTATTCTATGGAACGTTTAATGAATGTTGACACCTATAAAACAAATCTTAAAACTTACATTTCTGAGCAATATTATGTTCAGTTTAAAGACTTTTGCTTTTCATTGGAATTGTAAAGGATTTGTTTTTTTTTAGCAAAGGCTGAAAAGCTTATATAATAACAAAGGATTCAGTTTTTATGTTCATAAGGAAGGCCTGTATTTTCCCCGATAACTGATAAATCCAGATGTAACGTTCTATTATTGTTCACATCGCTGAGACGTACGTGCATGGAGTGCGTTTTTTTTTATTACTATTATTATTACATAGTCTACTAGTAATGAAATGACTGTGATCTTCACGTTCAAATTGCGTTCTTTTCAGTTCAAGCAGAAGGCAAAGGGTATATTTCACATCATTTATTGCATAACAATAAATTGACACCACCGTAGATCGCATCAAAAGCGAAAAGCTTGATGGTTTATGATATAGTGAAAAAAAAATTGCTGCAACATAGCTGAATTATACAGCAAATAGTTGGTTGTAACTTTTAAAAGATGAATCACTAATAAGAAAAGGATAAACAAATAACAATATTAACAATCAATATGCTATGCTGTCAAAAAAAAAAAAAAAAAAAAAAAAAAAAAAAAAAAAAAAAAAAATAAAAAAAAAAAATGCTATGTGTAAAAAAAAAAAAAAAAAAAAAAAAAAAAAAAAAAAAAAAAAAAAAAACGTATCGAGATATACTCATCCATCATAAAGCAATTTTTGTCAAAGACTTTAAGTGGTATTGACTAGATATTACAATAGGTACTGGCTGACATTATTGTACAACCGCAAAAGAGATTGGCTTCAATGGACAAATGATATTGTGGTGTGGTTTTAGAACACAATAACAGCACTGAAGAACATATCGATGCAAAGGATCTATAGATACATATTTAATTAAGCGTTCTTTTTAAGAAAAACTATACAAACAAATCGCAGAGAATGCAGGATTATTTTAGTTTCAGAATCTTAGATAGTAGATGAAATATTAAAATATCGTGCTTACGTTGAAGATTAAAAAAAAACCCCGCTGATAAAAATGAGAAAATAAATACCTAACTGAAATGAATAAAAATTAGAGCAAAATAATACATAAATACATTTCAACGTAAATGGCATAAGCTTAAATATATTGAATACATAAGCTTAATAATATCATTAAATGTTTTGTAAGTTAGTCATCTTCCTCTTCATCTTCATCTTCTTCGTCATCGTTTTCTTCTTCTTCTTCTTCCTCTTCTGAATCGCCCCCACTGTGTCTCGGTCTCGAGCTTCCCGGCCTCCTTCGCGCGGACGACACACGTTCAAGTTTATCCTCCAGCTCACCCGTCTTAGATTCCATATGAACAGTCTTGGAAAGAGCCGAGTCGTACGTTTCCATAAGATTTCCAATAGCGAGTTCTAACCGCTCTTGTCGAGCTTCAAGGTCGCTTATGCGAGTTAAAAGTTGTTCGTTATCTTTCTTTAAACGAGTATGGTCGCTGTTTAACTCATCATGACGAATTTTTAGCTCTTGGTGTTCTTGGTGAAGCGTCATGGAGCGCGCGCGAAGCTCCTGCACATCTGCTGGCACCGGTGTGTTAGCTTCTTCGACGTCCTTTAAGGATCTCTCATCGTTCTCTCCTATCTCCGTCATCTCGTCTGATTTTTCCAATAAATAATCCGTCCCCTCTGGAAGGTAGGAATATTCTAGCAGCACCTGTCGCATGTGGGGTGTGGCATAATCTAAAGCTTTCTTCTCCTCTTCATCGCGAATCATAAGATCGGCCTTACTTCTCAGTAGAATTTTGGCAGTTTCGCGAAGATCTTTCATACACGCAATGTGCATTGCCGTCATCCCTTCATTGTTTGTACGGTTGACGTCACAGTAACGCAATAAAAGTTTCACGCTTTCGATTTTTCCGCGAGACACCGCAATGTGTAAAGGAGTATTTCCCTCTTCATCCGGAAAGTCCGGACAGGCTTTGCTTTCTAGTAAAAGTTTCAGCATAGACACTTGCTGACCGTGGCGTCTGCAGGCGATGTGCAGAGCAGACACCTGCTTATTATTCTTCACATCGACATCAGCACCTTTTTCAATCAAACTTTTAGCCATATCGACATGGTGTCCTCTAACGGCAAACAACAGCGATGCGTTGTTGTCAGCATCTAAACTATTCGGGTTAGCTCCGTGTTTTAGCAGAGCGGTAACATTCCCCTTGTGACCTTTCTTTGCAGCGAGTAGAAGAGGGGTGGAGAATTCTCGGATCTGGCACATTTTCCCATCCAGATTGTAAATCCTACCGTCCCTTACCATAGTCTCGTTAACGTCAATCCCGGTCGCTATCAGCATCTCCAAGACGACCGGATTGTCAAACAGATACGCGGCGGCATGGAGAGGAGTGATCCCATTGCTGCCGCTTATCTGGACGCTTATGACGATCTGGAATGATTAAAGTAAATTCTGTAGGCCTATTTACTATAGAAATATTTACTTTTAACGTGGGATTAAGAAGCTTTACTTCAATTTTATTTGACGTTGACAAACAATCATTTTTACGTTACTACGTACATTAGTCGGTTGATAAGTCAACGTTCCAAAATCGAACAAAATCACTTCACAGAGAGAGAATGTTTTTTTCTCTCAATGTCTTTTTTTTTTTTTGGAAAAGGTATTTTATACACCAAGCCATTGCTATGCAACAGTCAGGTCAACCTGCACGGTTTACGGTCTATACGTCACAATTACATGTATAGAGATAGTAGCTAACGGCACAAACATACGCAACAGATACATCGTAATCAATGCATAGAAACATAGGCCCTATGATAAAGACGTCTGTTTTTGAAGACGGCAACATTAAATAAATAAATAAATAAAATTTAAGAAACATTTTTGGCAGACTAAGGAAAAGTTTTTATCTAAATAAAATAAATTCCCACCATTAATTGTCTGAATTATTCTTATCATTCAGTTAAAGAGAGGTGAAATATTTTGACTAGAAAGCAGCTACAATAGGAATGAAGACACATATACACCAGTTTATAACGGGCAGCATACACGCCATAGGCCTATATGACGGATCCATGGCAACACATTCACGAATATAACATTTAATTGATTTTTGTTGGGTCAGATTTTCAAATAGTGTACCGATTAAAGATCATGGATCAATCACAAGTTGGTTCTGTAGGCAAAGGAGGTGGATTTGGGGTGGTGGGGATGGGACTGAACTGTTCTGCATCAAAATTTGATATTAAAAATCCTAGATGCCATTTCCCCAGTTGTTTCAACTATAGGCCTATATATTGTTGGGGTAGAAATGTCCTTTTTTTCAGAAAAAAAGAAGATCTCTTACAAATGCTAGCTGCAGTCTTGGGCATTTGACAAGAAGTCTAAACCACCATCCATACCCCTCCGTAATAATTTCAGGGCAACTGCTCTCTTACCTTTGGCTTCTCCCCTTCCTCCTTGATTTCCTCCAAGAACTCTTTGACCGCTTCCCCTTCATCGTCTGTCTCCTTCAACACCCCGACCAGCTGTTTAGCTAGTTTGCTCACCATATTTGATATCACAGCATTAACGGAATTCTCTCATAGACTACCCTCGGGTTGAGCTCTGGCATAGGCGACCTAGCTACACAGACATCAACACACTCGATGTCTATGCAGTAAAGATTACTACCACGTCGGCAACCGTTTCGGTAGTAAAGATAAAACGTCACAGTCACACGTACGCCTCAACGTCGAAGCGCATAGGAACCAAGAAGTGACGGGACAGCAAATCTCTAGAAATTGATGCCAAAATATTGGCCCAAATCCCAGTCCGCCACTTTTTAGATGGTTGGTAACACTATTGCTTAGTTGCCCTGCTGCCTTTCAGTGCGTGAAGCACGTCGCCTCGTTGTACTAATTTCCCCCTTTGTTGATGCGCTCCCATGTTAGGGCTCCCCAGCAACGGTGACAGATCTCAAGCGATCAATAAGTCTAATAGTATCCATGGGGGAATTTCCGTGAATTTATTCTCAGGGTCGGATATTACTCTTTCTGGAGCTTATCAAAAGTCAGAATACTGCACTGGCTACTGCATTCATTTGCGTTATTACTTAGGGACTAAACCATGTATCGTTCAATAATTAATTCATTGTAAACTATTGATTTTTCCCACCTGTAATTACCTGTCTGGCAAGTTGCCGTTATATACGCAGTGTCTGTGGCTTTCAACTGGAAAATGGAAATAAACCAAAGTTCTTTTTAATCAAACATTTTTTTGTAAAATTATTGATATAACTATCATTTTCTTACTATAATTTAGACATTAGTCCCCGAGACCTGTTTCCTCGCCAAACCACAATATTTTACATTCTCGAGCAGGAAAGATAAACAAACCTTTATGTTGCTGCCCTTTGTTGCCTTTTGTACCATAACGATTGTGTATTCAGTGTTTCACACGAATAAAGGTTTCTTTAGTTGAGATTTATCCGACCTATCATCCGGTTCAATGGATTACATATGTAATACAAAGAAAACTTGTCGCGATTTGAAAGACAATATTTTGACCCTAGGTGAAACCTTACGTCATTTCATTGTATGAAAATGAAAGGCTACTGTGTTATAAGGTAAACGTTTGGAAACCTTTCAGTTACTTTTTTCTCCTTTCTTGTTACATTAAGTTTTACAGCTGAAATGAGGATGTAACATTGCTGAAACAAATTATGCTGTTTATTTTATGATAGACAGGTTAAAATTTTCTTTTGTAACTCGAATTCGTTGTGCCAAATGTGAATCAACGCATTTTCTTTTGTGGAATATTGTTAACACGTTTTTTTAGTTTCACTTTCTTTATGTCAGGATAAAAAATGATGGTTTATTTTAGGTAATGTATTTATTTATTTTATTTATTTATTATATGTTTTTTTTTTGGTAACTTGTTTCTCACGTTCTTGATCTTAAAATCTCTTAAATAAATTTTTAAAAGGATAAATGACTAAATTGTGTATGATACTCAAGGCACTTCAAGTCAAGGGGAGAAAAAGAAATTGTCAAACTGAAGATCATTGTATTTCGTCATGTAATTTAAAAAATAATTAATAAAACAGTTTTGTGGACATAATAAACAATGATTTGACTCTTGAAAATTTGGTTTAAGCTAGGTGTGGCTTAACACCTTAATAATATTACACTGAAGCCTATACTATCACAAAGTAAAACAACTGACAAAAAGTCATCCTTATAAACATTAATTTCACCCCTCCAACCTCTGATGAAAACAAAAAATTTTATGTGAACCAAGTAATTAACAAGTCTGCTTTTCCTGTTAAAAACCGGACTGTTGTCACCAAACTACCCATCCCATCTTTTAAGATAAAACGATATTAAAAATAAAATATATTTTGGCAAACAGGATTGGGTGCTGCTTCAGTTGTATTAAAGTTTTATCAATGGAGATGTAAAGTGTTCATTCACTTCTTAGTGAAGAATTATTTGCATCACATGGTAACATTGAAGATAATACATTTTATATCAATTTTTTTATTTATTTAATCAAATTCTGAGAATCTATAAAAATCAACAAAGCGTGAACTTGGTAATGTAATAAGTGTATAGTTATACAATTCATATGTTTGGACTCTTTGTAGTTTGCTCTTTAGCCAATATAAACCAAGTTTAAATCACAGTCATTTTCTCCAGTTGATTTGATCAGTGATCTAGGCCATTAATGACATAAAAAAGGCCACACCCTAAGGCATACCCAGCTTCTTAGCTTTGATTTTTCAGCAGAAAACTTTTCCCTGAAAAGATGGGATTAACAAAACAATAAAAATATACCACTGAAAATGTTGAACCATGCATAAGAAAGAATGGCAGGATTATGTTCCATTTCCTTTTAAATATCACTTTGCTAGACAAAAAAAAAAAAAAAAAACTTACAATCGATGTCAAAAAGCAATACGAAAAACCCTAACCAGTACAGGCATCATATTCATCAGGTAACCATTTGTCGCTTTACATACCCAGCATTCTGGAGAACTAAGATAATGTAAACAGATGGAAAAAAATTAATGCAGAGATGTGTATTGTGAAAGATGATGTACATTTACTAATGATAACAGGTCTTACCCAAAATTTATATATTTGCACCAAAGCCTCTTTGAGATCTGCAGCACCATATCCCTTCGTCAACAGTAGGACCATGTATTACTATGTATTAGTACAAACACATACACAACTTAATCAATCAGAAGGTCCAGAATTAACAGTAACCAGTCTTACAATTATTACAAATTTAATATTTATTAAATATTATATTTTTATATGTATATTAAAAATAACTTTCCTGGACATAATTTACAAAAATCAAAAAATAAATTAATAAATAGAAATAGATAAATAATTAATTAAAAAACAATAAGCCTGTAGTGACTTTGTTCACTGGAAAACTTACTTGATCAAGGCTTCCTCCCCCTTTAAAAAATACTTTGAAGATATGGGATATTTTCATAAATAGATAGTAAACATCTAGGCAAAAGTTTAATTGCATTACATTTGCATAAATTACATAATTTGTATTGCTGAAAAAGGATCCACTTTGATCTTATTTACTAAAGTGATAAAAATCACTCCCTTCACAAATGTTCTACATAAATGATGTAAAAATAGGATATCAAAAAATTCACAAATTCCATTTTCCTTAATATGAAACATCTGTCGCATATGTTGAACAAAAACTTTTAAAGTTAAACTTAAAATTCCATTCAAAGAAAAAAAAATACAGACACACTATTTCTTTAGACAATAATATGTGCAAAAAGCTCCTTAGCTAGGAAAAGTACAAGTACACATTATATTATACATTTAAATCTGTTTTCATCTTAGCGTAGTCATAAAGCAACATGCAGCCTAGTATATGGCTGGTTTGTATATCACAGCAAACTTTTATTTCACTGGTACTTTTCCTTGAGAAAAACATCCTCAAGTGGGCTAAAAGCAACCATTGTAATAATTATGCTCAACAAGATGGAGAATGAAACTATTGTGGTCAGTGCTTCCCTTTGCATATGCCTGTGCCAGTGAAACAAAAAACCTAACAGCTCGGTTTGTCAATAGTATTTTTGAATCAAATTAAAATAATAATAATAATAATAATAATAATAATAATAATAATAATAATAAGAGTTACAAGGCATATAAATTGCATATCAGCTGTCTTTACATTGCATTTTGCATCAACTTCAATCTGGGTGTCATCTAAATCAGATCCTGCTGTAATACAATTATAAAACTTTATTATGCCCTATTACACCAATAGTAATTACTAACAGTAAATTTCTCCTTATTGTTTGATTGTGGCCTAGCCATACTTGAGATCACAGTGTAGGTTTGTTTATTATAAACACGGCACACAGAAACACTTTAAAATAACAGTGTACAAACTCTTCACAAGTGTGAAGAAATTGAAGGATGTTGCTCACCAAATACAAAAATATATTCACAATGAAACAATCAAATAACATGAAAATCAATTATCAATCACTGAAAAAAAGGACAGCTATCAACAGAATTCAAAAATGACAAAATCACAAAATTATTGCATTAACCATAGTTTTCTGAGTACAACATTTAATTTAGAACATGCATTAAATTATTGCTTTCATAACTCTTCACAGTATATCTAAATGGATGCCCCCATCAGAAAAAATTCATTGTAAGTAAGTAACGTTCCTTATTCACTTACAAGTTTTGATTTTAAAGAAAGAAAGGGTTATACTGCCTGTATAATACTGCCTGTTTTTGCTACATTCTTGTCTGAAATGCAAATACTTGGTTGCCAGCCTGATTCTTCTTTTTCATCAATTCTCCAAATATAATCTGAAATGCCACATGGAACTGGACCAGTGAGTATCCATGTGCACCATTCTCTAGAAATGGAGGTATGATTTCAGACAACAGCACAACAGTAGGATAGAGGGCGCTGACTGTGGCAGGATCACAGTAGAGGAGTGCAAGAGTAAGCACTGTCACCATGTCATCCGCACACATGCTGACATTACCTTCGTTCCTCCTTGCCCTGATTCGGGACACCTGTGAATTTATCAGGCGCAGGCAACATGTCAGCTGCTGCAGTTTTGCAAGCGGGGTTTTTTCATCCAGAACCTTCCCAATGCTTTCAATAACTGGCTGAAAGACCTGACAGAAAGTTTTGTCTGCTGGTGCCTCATCTTTGACCTGGCATCTTAATTTGACAGCACAGTCAAAATCACCGTCACGGTGTTGACTAATATCACAGCTAGATGATGTCTCTAAACCGAAACTATTCAGGGTACTTAAAATAGTATTTCTCCATGTTTCTTCGCCGGATGTGACACTGCCGCTGTCAACACTGAAAGTGTCAAGGTTTTCATCCTCTGGCTTTGAATTTGATGGAGACAGCACAGGTTTCTGATGAGGATCATTAGAAAGAATGGCCGGAGACGATCTTCTGGTCACTGATGCTGGATCTCCTCCAAGATCCAAGGTAGCATGTCCAGCACACAGCTTGGGTTCTGAGTTGCGCAGCTGAACAGAGCCCCCCACATTCTCATCACTAACACCATTTTCTCCCAATTCTCCATGTAAACGTTGGTCATCTTCTTCGGTACTACTGATCAACTTTATCATAATATCTTCCAGATCAAACCCTTGCTCTGGCAGTCTTACTGGTTGTCTGTCATCAAACACATACACCTGCCCTTTGCTTCGTCTCATTGTCTTTGTATGGCTGTCCCTTCTATATGGTATGACATGCTCTGGCTCAGCTGAGGGTGTGTCCTTTGTTGAATCTGAGGGGAACTTTTCAGAAACTGCTTGTTGGGATATTTCCTGTTCTTTCACAGAATGAACTTTGATGTTGACAGCTGTGTCAACATTACTGGTTTCTTCTGGCTTCCATTCTTCTTTCAGACTATGTTTGGGTGGGGTACCTGCACATTCCTGGTGTATCTCCACAACACTGTGCACAGCTGACTGACTGGGGAAAGCCACAGGCTGAACACTGTCACTGACATTTGGCCCCATGGGTGTACAAAATGTAGACATGCTACCTGAATCTTGCTCTGTACCCTGAGATAGGACAGCGCTTATTTTGTCTGAAGAAGTTTCACTGACAGCCATTCTCATGTCTCCAGAGGCCCATACTGTGGGAGTAGATTCACCAATGGCACCCTTGTCTGTGCTCACACAAATTCCTCCGTTAAAAGATCCAGTTTTTACGGCAATGGGTTCATCGGAGGTCTCATTGGCATCAGAAAGCACAGCTGTGTCAGAGACCCCAGGTAGGTTACTGGTTTCAGAAATATAGAGGGGGCCACTGGTTTCTGTGGTGACAACATCAGTGTCTGTCTCCAGACCTGAGTCCTGCTGCTGAAGAGTGAAATGAGCCTGGTCAGTGTCTTTCATTTCCTGATCAGCATGGTCAGTCACTGGCTGGTCAGTTTCACTTTGGTCACAGTGGTCAGTTGTTGGCACATCCTGGTCAGTACCCTCAGTGTTGCCAATGGGTGCTTCAACCATATCAGGGCTGGCATTTTCTTCATCTTCTGTAAATAACAAAAGTAAGCTTTCTTTAGTTATTCTATATGCCTCCATGAATAACAGCACAATTAAAAGGACCCATTACCTCCTGAATATTAATTGATCTATCCCCCCCCCACAGAGAAAACAAATTGAAGAGAAGAGCCATATCAAATTACCTGCTATTGATTGATTTAAATTCATATAAAATTCATTTTCAAATCCAGAATCCTAAAAATTTTGAAATTTTAAAAATCCTTTGAGGAGTTTAAAAAGTACATTCTAATTCTAAGTCATGAGTCATAAAAGTGCTTTCTAAAGTTAATTGCAGTTGCACATGTTATACGTATGTTTCGCAAACATTTGAAGGTTAACATGGTAATATATTTTACATTTTGGAATTCTAAAGCTTAATATCTAATGTAAGATTTCATAAGCCAATGCTGCCCAACACTGTCACTCAATTGTTTGTTGGAATATCATTACCTAGATTAAGTACATTTTACCTGCCAAACAAGTAAATTAAAACCTAATAGTATACATGGCACACTTATAATATAGTTACAGAGCTGAGTCAAGTCACACTTCCACAAATTCAAGAGCTAGTGTTATGATGTGTAGTTTAAGTTTCCTTTCAAGATCTCTAATTTCATGGGTCAATAAAAAATTACCTCCACCCTCTCTTACTTAGTGGTACTCAATGACAAAGAATGTCAGACTTTATTTCAGCATTGTTGGGGCTCAAACTGACACCAAACTTCAAGATCTAGTGAAAACAAGATAAGTAGTTATCACAGAGTCCCTTTTATTTCTGCCTCTTGAAAACAGTTTCCTGGTGTGGCGCATAGGAAGGAAATAACTACAGTCATATAATTTACTGTAATTTATTTAAGGCTCAGGACAGAATATGCACTACCTAGTATTTCTTCAGTCTTAATGGTAGCATTTAATGTCAAAGCACATTAAAAATAGGCCACAAAACTCTTTCCCTTTATATATAAAAATCATTAGGCCAAATAAGGTATCTGCATCACTATTTACCAGTGCTGTCTGGCATTTAATTATCTTATGCTTATCATCTATGGGAAAACTTTTTATCAAAATTCCCCTCATAAGAAACATGTTCAACTTATTACAAAGATTCATCAAAGCTGAAAAATGGAGAAGGGGTTAATTTCCTTTTTTTGACTGATACTACTATGAAAGATAGCTACTTCCTGCAAGTCCTCATGCACACCCCCCACCCACCCACCCACCCACCCACCCACCGCATCCCTAATAAAATCCAAATGGTGGTCCTATGGGTTGGTTATCTACATTGGAGATAATGATGTGAATGGTTTTGATATTTAAACCGTCATAGAGAGAACATATTTTGGTACAGATTGATAAGATTTTATGCAGAACTGGTGGCTAACATTTTCGAATGCTGGTGCTTAATTCCAAGATATATCAAAAATGGAATTTACTTCCTTCAATTTTTAAATGGAACTGAAAGTGAAACAATAACTTATTGAAACCTAAAGTATGCAGGGATTACCATTATTTTCTTTAATAGTGGATTTTGGAAATGAAAACAAAAAATATATGCAAAATAAATTAACTAAATAAAATAACAAGAAGTAGTGAACAATACAAAAACCGCAATACCTGTTGTTTTCATCAAGTATGTACAAACCTAACTTTTGCAAATAATTATGAATCAAAGTAGGTGGGGGCAAACTTCCACTGTGAGCAGAGTTAAGCCAAGATGTGATAATCCCATTAAACAACCCTATCAGACAAAACCTGTATGTACACAGTATGACATATCAGCTCTGTATTCATCAGACAAAATGCTGATAAAGTTTCATTAAGTCATGCATGTTACATAACATCAAGGAACAAGGAAATAAAAGAGACAGATAACTACTTTGTTTAATTTGAGAGGTATGTTGCCTGGAAGAGGCATAAGTGCCCTTTTCTCAAGCTTCTCAACATCTTTCCTCCAAAATACTGTCATGTCATGATTTAATTATAACTAAGTGACACACTTTTTGCTAAACTGATATATGTTCAAATTTATCTGACCAGATATGTGCGTATAAATCTTTAAAATTTTAATCTAGCTGATTTGATTTTAAACAAGACTTCATGAGTACATAATTTAAAAATAGTTTCTTCTCACACCAGAGACACCAACTTTTAAATCTCAAAATTAGAAAAAAATTTAAATAAAATTAATCAGAGCTATCTGAGAAGGATCCTTCCCATTTCTTAACATTTTTTCATGTCTTACGTATCTGTTAAAAATATAAGACTAATTAATGATGTGTACAAAATGTTTTTAATCTCTGGAAGAGATGTTGCAGATCACTTGTACATACATGTGCACTTGAGTTGTTCTCTTCGACTCCATTCCCATACCAAGATTGATCTATCAGGATTGGCCCATCTCTGAGGGGTTTCTTGCTAAATTGCATTCAGCTTCAGCGGCTCTGATGTCTAGGACACCTACTGCAGCTGTTAGGGGTAATAAGCAATACTTAAGCAGCTTCAGTAGATATCCCAGACACCTAAGCCACTTAAGTTAAATGCAATTTAATGAGAAACCCCTCAGAGATGGGTCGTTCCCGCTAGATCGATCCAGGTATGGGAAAGGGGTTTTTGATACAAACCTTCCTCCTCCAAGAATCCACTCTCCTTCCTATGTTGATTCTGCAGCAAATCTAGCAGCCAGGGTTCTTGGACCTCCAGTTCACCATATGTCAGGCTTCCTAGGTTAAGTTCTAGCATGGTGCAGGTGTCCCTGTAGCAGAACTGGTACAAGTCCACCAGTGTAGGGAGAACAAATTCATAGAAGTGGGTCTCATAGCACAGCCACAGCTTGTTGTAGATGCTCTCACTGCAGTATCCCAAGGCATCTTGCAAGTCTGGATAAATATAACATACCAAAAATATTATGAAGTAAGGAAAAGAGTCAACAGTGCTTGGTACGTCAAAGAGAACTGGTGGAACTCTCTGAAGAAAAGTGACTTAAGTATCTCTATCTCATGAGTTCAAAAGCTGAAACAAAAGTGTTTAGAAAAACCAACCAACACACCATTTTCTCTAAATTTGTCGACCTTTCATATAAAATTATTTAACTTTAAAAAGAAGCTATGAAAAATTAGAAAAAAAAAATGTACATAGATTTTACAAGAGGAAGATAATAGCAGCTTTTGAGAATCTAAAGTGTGAAATATTAGAAAAAAGAAGTTGCCAAGCTTCTTGTTCTCTCTTAATGTCTGGCACATGACATGTGTATATGTGCATGTCTACGTGACAAACTAACGGGTCACAGCCATATTAGTCTAGGTTATCTTTGGGTTCAATAAAGCATATCACTCAATTAGATAAATAGGCCAAAGTCTTTAGATATAACAAGTATTTTCAACAATATAAGGATAAACAAGAAAAAACAAGGAAATAAATAAACTAAAACCTGCCCCAATGGTTTGTACAATTTACATTTTACACTGTCATTAAAAAGATGTCACAAAAATGTATAAAAAAATGTTTATATTATAATTTAGAACTACATGACTACTTTATAAGTCCATGTTTCATAATATCATGAAGTGAAATTAATTTTACATCTAAAAATCTCTTGATATATATGAATCTTTTACATAATCAAAGTGCACAATATTTACCCTCATATTTGCCATTTGATAATGTAAAATTATCATATAAAAACGTGTAACTTTTGGATGAAGCTCACTTTTATCAGAGATCCCTGTAGCAGAACATCAGTCATTCCAAGGACAAAATGAACATTTATATTGGTACTTGTATTAGCTTTAAAAATTTCAAAGAAAAAATGCAAAACTTGGTAGTTACTTTTCCAGTCTTAAATGATTAAAAACTTGACATATCTTGACCTCCAAAACCACAGATTTCAAGCCATTAGCTACCAGGCAATTAAACCCCACACTACAGCTAGCATACATATTAAGAAACTATGACATTTTTTACCTGCGGTCATCATTTCAAAATGCTGCTTTATGTTATCTCTGATGTGCTCAACTGCCTGCTTGGGTGTTTTTTGTTCACTCTCTGCACAGTCTATGATCACATAACTCTCTGTGTTAGTTAGGGTGGCAAGTTGGTCCTCTATAGTCTCGCACAACGCAAATGAATTCCTCAGGGATGCTCGGTCAGTTGTGATGGCCGGAGAATGCTGAAAGACTGACCATTCCTTATTTCTGAGCTCAACACATTGGCCGACTATACTGGAGCAGAATTCAGCGTGCCTTTGCCCTAATTTATGGTTGGGGTTGTTGACCATGTTATCCACCTTCTCACTCAGGGTCATCCATTCACTGGGAATATGGGCATTTTGTAACACATCCGTGGCCCTACGAGTGCTCCCTCTTAACACTTCCAACCCTGTTGATTCTGCATTATTTTTTAAGTCTTCAATGGCCATTCTTATTGCCTCTTTAACACTGAGTGCTAGGACTTTTCTTTCCATTAGCTTTTCACACTTCTTCCTTTGGTCATTGGCCCGTCTGTCCAGCGCCAGGAAGATGTCACAAAGGGGGATGAGGGTTTTAGACTTAGCTTTAGACCCTTTGGAACGCCGACTGCGTAGCGATTCTATCCAGGATTTTTGCTTGGTCAGCTAGAATTTAAAATTGAAATTGATATCTTCTGCTTTTAAATGTTATAGTATCTTATCACAAAGCTCCCATCTTAATTCATTTAATGTATATTTTCAGTGCAGTTAAATAGCCATTCTATCAACAGTGAACTGTTATTATCATATACTTTTAAAGGTACTAGTATTTATCTCAGAATATAAATGAGGTCATTAAAAAAGGTTACCTGTTTTTCGCCTTGCCTTATGTTTTCCCTTGTCTTTAAAAGTGACTCTTTGATATTGTGTGCTTCATTTCTCTCACATCGCCGCCTTTCCAGTTCTTCTGGAGAGGCACTTCCAGATTTTGCCTCTTCAACCAGATTCTGTGTAAAATCCAAGTCAGTTTCAGCCTCTCTAATATCTCTGTCTAAATCACTGAGCAGCGTTTTCAAAACTACATCAGATGGTGTACCACTATTCCCCTCTTGCCATACTTGTAAGATCTGTGAACGTTGATTCTTTTTTGTTTTCCTTATTCTCGCAATATCTTCATTTCTAACGTTTATTTTTTCATCCATCTTTGCAATTTTTTCCTCCTGTTCTTTGTAGGCAACTTCCAACAAACCCAAATCATCTCTGGTGAGCTTGATAGCTGGGAATATATAGCAGTGTAAAAGTCTGAGCAGCATGCCATGAAATTGAGCGTCAGTGATGCTTTTTACTTTGTACTTCTCTAACATCTCCAGTGCATAGTCAAACAACTCATCCAGGTCAGAGTTAAAGTCATAGCATTCTCCTTGACTAAACAGAGTCCTACTCAGACGTGTGGTAGTACTATTAGACTGTAGGCTATCTACCAACTCCTCCTTTACCCCATATGTCCCTACACACCTCTTAGTGAAGGACTTTTGTTTTCTGTTAATGTTCCAAATGGGTTCAGTGCTCCACTGAATACAACGACGATTACAGTCAATAGTAACGGAGTCCAGGATCAGTACTTTAAACCAAACAGCTGGCTCTATCATAACACTCTCAGTTTCATGGTCCAGGGAATCTAATGGAGAGGTGTTGCCTATCACTGGGATGCAGCCGTGGCGAAGGGTGACATCAGGTACTACGCGGGTATGCTCTCCATCTTTTACATTCACCAAATACACATACATGATTACTCTGGAAAAGAGGTAAGTAAAGGAATGAAGGACCTGATTAAATTAAGTCAAGTGCACATATTATATGTTCTTTTTAAATCATTTTCATGTATCTTTTTTATTCAATGGCCACTTCATTAAATAGATGAAAAAATAAGTCAATAATATATCATTTAGACAATAAAGAAACAACGATTTTCGTTTGCACGTACAGATTATGAAGTCTCTTCTCCATGCAAAAAGAAGTAAGCTAACTACATGTATAGTAATCATAATACCTTCTATCTATCTAAAGGCATATCTGTGAATATCTTGTGAGAAATCAATTTGTCGCCCTGGTAGAGGGTACCCTTTCGTTACCTGTCAATATTACTTTTCAAAAGTTTCACAAATGCAAAAGTTCAAAACTTACAAAGTAACTTTCGTTACTGAACTTTGCGGGGGCACCACAGAAAAGTTTTAGATCTAAATGTTCTTGCATTACTTACGTTGTATGCCCAACTTCATTGGCGCAGTCTTATCAGTTAAGTTCCGTTGCTCTTACTCCGTCGTTTTCATCTCTCCTCTGTTTGTCTGAGTCACACCATCACTCATTATCAGTCATTCATCTACCTGACCCGACCTCTAAGAAACTTCCTGCATTGTCTGATCGCTTAAATCGTTGTAAAATATGCCTTCAAAACAAATTAATAAGGTAACTATGTCTACAGACTGTAGCTTTATCACACAATTTCAATTGTTTCATGTCTTTCTCTTTGGTAGACAATTCAATTTTAATTTCAATTAAAATTTTATCATTATTTTGGTGTAAGGGATACCGCAACGCATGCGCATTAGTTGTTACATTATTTCCGGTAATTTTCGTGGTTGCTGTTGAATGGTTGACTGGCCTGTGTTGTCATTTAATGAGATAACATCACACTTGCCACCATTTAGTGGTGTTTGGATTGTTACTTTGATGTGTAAGTAGTGACCGAATGTCAATTTAATGCCGAAAAAAACACGGCAAGTTTGTTATGTTTGACAAGTGAACAATGGTTCCCAAACACCAGCATTTACAATGTATCATGTTGTTGATTTGTATATTTCCCCAACTGTAAACTGTGATAACGCACGCGCTGCTTTGACAATAAAAATCCCTCTGGAGCTTGAAGCCAGCAACAGTTTTGTTATTTTGTTCATGTCATGTACCTGTCTATGTTACATAGTGTTTTAAATATACAGTTATCACATTTTTACTTGTTAACCTTGAATGTTAGTCACTACAGTCACTAATTTTTACTGTTACCCCTTACTTCAGATAAGTCTGTATTTCATTTAATTATTTACTAGTAAATTGTCAAATTGACTCAGATGCATGATTTTACATACGTTACCCCAAGGTTTTCAGTTCACTTATTCCATGCACTTTAATTTATAAAAATAAACTATGTATTTTTGTATGCTTATTAGGTTTCCCATGCTGAAACACATACAAAGATGCAGACAACATGGTCAAACTTTAAGGGTCAAGTGAACTGAAGTAATTTTGAGCCTTCACATACCAAGGCATTTGTAGTACATTTGGACAGTTCTCAGGGGGTCACGTCTTCCTACAATCATTCAGCTATTATGGCGGCAGAACACAGCAGGGATAAAGATGCTCGTGAGAAAGAAGATGATGAACTGAGCATTCCCCGAGCAGCACTCAATAAGATGATCAAGGAATTAGTTCCCAATGTTCGTGTGTCAAATGATGCAAGAGAACTTGTTCTCAGCTGCTGCACAGAGTTTATACACTTAGTCTCATCTGAGGCAAATGACATTTGTAATAAGCAGCAGAAAAAGACTATTTCTCCAGAGCACGTGTTAGGGGGTAGGTTTTGTTGAAGAGCTTAAAGTGACAATTCTATAATCTCATGCTCATTTGATAAAATTTTGAATATAAGCATTGTTAATTATTTTTTAATTTTATTCCATTGTTGATGAAATGATTAACTACAGATTCATAACCTTAAGCACTATTGCGTTGGCATTTTTGTTTTTGTGATAATTGTGATTATAGACTGATTACCGTATGTAAAAGAATAAAAAAACTGTTAAATCACTCCAACACCTAAAGTTAAAGACTTAATGTTTTTAGAAATGGGACTGTTTTCCTTTTAAAATTGTAAGAAAAGGAAAGGGAAAAAATGTTTATTGTAACTGTAAATAGTTATTTTCTTTTGTAGCACTGGAAAGTTTAGGTTTTGGGGCATACAAAGAAGAGGCATATGCAGTATTACAGGAAGCAAAAGCTGTTGCAGCCAAAAAACGAAGACAGAGCACAAGATTAGAAAATTTAGGGATTCCTGAAGAAGAATTGCTTAGGCAGCAGCAAGAATTATTTGCCAAGGTATGAAGGATGTGGTGAAACATATGGTTCCTTTTCAGAGGGTGATGTATAAAACAAGTTTTGAAGAGGAGGGCATGTTGATGTTGAATTGTGCATATTCTGTTCACGACTCACTGGGGGTTCCCCCAAGATTTGGGGTACATAGCATGCTCTTTGATTTGGTCACCAATTTAAAAGCAGTCCAACTACAAATATACTGTCATTCCTCAAAAATTTCACAAGCTGTCCAGCTGTCTTTGAACATATAGGCCGTCTTTTGAGGCCAGTAGCCTCCCAAATGATAGCTGGACTGCTGTCTGGAAAAAAACTTGCCACTCATGTACTTGTAACTTGTAGTCATTTGATTGACATTGTGAATAATTAATTAGTGAGACAGGGAGAAAGAGAGGAGAGGAATTGGTATAGTACTAAGGTATAGTACTAAGTCTAGAAAACATATTACTGATATTTTAACTTTAAATTTGTGTTCCCAGGCACGTCAAGAACAGGCTCTCTTGGAGCAGCAGGAATGGTTGGCCATGCAACAGGCAGCACAAGCAGCAGCACAACAACAACAGCAGCAGCAACAGCCACAACAATCTGTACCACAATTAAATGACAGTAATAATGACGAGGATGATTACAGTTAGTTTAATTCACCCATAACAACCAGTGTTCTTAAATGAACAACGGATTTTGGTCAGGATTATCACTGTGCATTTATGCATATTCTTAATATTTTTAGTGACCAATTCCTTTTGTTTGGAGGAGGGATTCCATTTTAATAGACAGTTGGTTTACACACATTGAGACCATCCTATGTTTGAAGCAACTCTTGTTTATGAGACACGTGATTATAAGCCCATTGTAGGACCAAATTGAATTTAGTCCTTTATCCTTCCTGTGTTATTAAAAAAATAGTTGTTAGCTGACTGTACTGCAGGCTGCAGCTAGTTCAGCAAAGGTGTATGTGCTATTTTATATTGTAGAAAGCGTTATTAATTAGGCCACCCAGAAGTAATGTATATAGAAACATATCTTCCCTATTTAAGGGAGGCCTGTAAGGGACCATCTTTATTTGAGAGTTCATATGGTTTCTGCAAATTTTTAGACAATGCACACCACCGCCAACTGCGGTTTTAAGAGGAAAACCAAGACTAATCTAGAAATCCCTTCTTTTTTGACATCTTTAAATAGTTTGACTTTCAAGGCATAGTCACAAGACTTGTACTTTGAGGCACACAGGAGATTGTGCATGGTTTATTTAATTAGATATAATTTTATTAACACTTTCTTAGAAATCTTATTGCTGTCACTGCCCTATGGATGTTACTTTCTTGCATTCAACAGGAATTATAAGCAAGAAGTGAATGGATTTTCACAGAGAAGACTCCAGTCTGTGAAGAAGTATGCGTTGATATATAGTATCAGCCTGGTTTCATAGGGAGAAGGTTGACTGTTTTGAACAGACTTGTCATTGGTTGTATTATATTTTGAAGCTTTTATCAAGGCAGAGCTGGTGTTTTGTACTGTAACAGTCATCACATAAAATTTCTCTAACACTTGGTTGTTTGTTTGTTGTCTTATGAAAATGCTATCACATAATAACTTTTTTTCTAACAGTGGCCTAATGTGCAACATTGCATTTATTTCAACACATTTTGATAACATCATTAATTTTCCTGGTATCAAAACATGCCCACACTGTCTTACAAATAAAGTTTGTGTACCCAACTTCAGATGGTATTAGTACTTTGACACCCATGCCTTTTCACATCCAAATTTTGACCCCTGTTCATATTCCCACCAGAGGTATTTTACTTTTCTCTCAAAAATACCAGCTTTTATATTTTCTTTGTAAAAGACAGTTAAAGCGAAGGTGATGTGCACAAAAAGCTTGAACATGTAAAATTCTAGGGTGAGCAGCAAGGGCTTTTAAACTTTGCATAAAACTGTCAGCCAGTTGGGGTTGGGCATGACATAGCAAGGGAAGTTCTCATACGTTATGATGGGCGTGGCATTTGTTCAGTAAAGCACATAGGCTACAATGGCCAGATGCATGTGATGACTATATGCACATGTTAACAGTGACTACACAGAAGCTAACAGCTCAACATTACATGTTCTTTATTTACATATGTCCATACTTTCATCCAAGTCTAAATAAGCCATAAGATATGTTTTTGACATGTTTGTGAAGAAATAATACATGACCTGAAAACAAACCTGGAGACTATTAATGTTTCAAACCAAATTTTTGTCCTTTGTATCACAGTAAGCAATAAGTTCATATTCCAGGTAGCATATTTAAGCACACAAACTGGAAAAACAAGCTGTTTTTCAACTCTTTTACCCAGTTATTCCTTAATACACTCATATTTTTTAAATGGAGAAAATAAAACATAAAACCACTACTAGGTGCAATAACAGAAAACTTATTCTGAGAGAACAAGCTATGGAAGATAAGAGTTTCCAGGAAATCCCCCATTCACAGGAATCATTCAGATTGCACCAGGCAAAATATTATATTATATATTCCCAAGCACTGTGATATCAGTGGCATGACCTTCACTGTGACCTTTCCAAGGCAAGGGTCTACTAAAGGAAATAACGAAACTCCATAAAAAATTTTATAGCTCAGATTTTTTGCTATTCAAATAAATATATGAAAATTGTAATCTTGTGCCCCCTGAAGCCCCTTCCAATCTACTAGGTGAAGGGCTCTGATATCATGGGAGAAGCCCCATAAAAAGATTTTTGATGTATTGTCAGTGGCACAAAAGTGGTATTCCATTAATGCCTTGGTACAGTTAGACAGGAGTTCCTCTTGGACCCGTCTTTATTTTGAGCTACTAGTAAATCTGGGTGTATGAAGTGAACTATCAGATACCTCTACCGTACCTGGTACCAATGCCTCATAAAATGAACCAGTTATCTGTATAATTACTTACAGGCACCATGTGTGATAAAGAATAAAGATGCAGCTTCCTTCTTAAAAACCTACAATGAACTGCCATACTTTGGGGACAGAAACTGTTGTTGCATGAGATAAACACTTGAGCTAACAATATGGAATATGCTACATTATTGTCCTTGCAGTAGCTGTAAAATTAATACAGCAAAATGTAGAGCTTAATCTGTTTCTCTCATTTGTCACTCAATAACAGTGACTATTATTTACAAAACCGCAGTTTGGAACTAGTTCTTTCTATTGAGCAGTTAAAGAAACCCAAAATGTGCCACACATCTAAAGCTTTTTTTTTCAATAATATTTATCACTATAATGACTGCTGTATTGATTAAAAAAAAAAAAATTCACAGTACCTGAAGATTTTTAAAATTTTTATAGGAGAAATAGTTTAAGTAATGATATATGCTCTACTAGGAGTGATTTATTACATTTTGTTCAACAATAATCTTTTAATATCTGAGCAATGCATTGTATGCATTTAATATATTCAGCATGTAGAGTTAAAAATAAGAATAATTCTTTTTTTAAGTCTACCGCAATAACACTAATTTTTTTCTTTTTTTGAGATTATTTATTTGCAACAGCTTGAACCTGCTGTCTGAAGCATACTTATGCTGATGAATATAGAAACTTTAAGAATTATAGTCAGTTTGTATATTGTTTATTGTTGTTGTATTTTTATGTCTGTATATCAAGGTACTCCAAAAGGAACAACCAGGTCTTCTTTGTGTTTCACTTTGATTTCTTTCAATGTCTGTGCTGTCCTATCAGCTACTTGTGTAATCTAGAAAAACATAAAAAAGCAAGTAGGGTGAAATGTTGGTACAGAAAAATAAACGCTGTCCAACAGATGTTAAACAATTTTGGAAAAATATGTATACCCAAAACAGAAAAACAAACAAAACCAAAAGGAATATTCAATATTAATTTTCTTCATCACTTTTAGGTGTTCAATTCATGTTTTATTTTCTACAACTGTTTACATGCAGCAACATGAAACTAAAAAAATGGCTGAAATCTAACAGTTCCACACCCTATAATGATTGGCTCAAATGATGACCATTACTATATTAAGCTAATGCACTGACAATATCTTATTTATAACTGGAATTTACTTACAAATTGTATGTCTGCTTGTGACAATGGTGGTGCTGACAGTATGGCATGAGGATTTCCTACACCAGAGGGCAGGGAATGAGGCCTGCTTGGGATAGGTGTCTTATTGCACAACATTGTCAACTTAGAACTGAAAAAAGGACAGCATTATTTATCATCCGCACATGGATAAATAATTATGATAAAACTGACCAATTCTAAGGCAACTAGTTAAGTATGTTAGGATGCTCGTTATATAGTTTTAATATAATTTTTGATGAGCTCTCTCCCTATGTTCTGTATTTACCAGCAGATTTCAAATAGAATTAATAGAAAAAATATATATTAACTGGATCACTGGATAGAGATTGTCTGACAAATCAACAACTTGCAAAGGAAGATCGAAGCACTGAGTGCCAGTTCAATAAACAGAAACAGTATTTATTTATGCTACATTGTTATCCAAAGAAAACGGTACTAGATGCACTGTCATATTTCATGTTGGGCCCAATACTCACCTATACTGTCTTGCCTTATCCAGGTATTCATGCTGTTCCATAGAACGAGCATCTATTGCCGCAACATCTATAACATTGCTGAAGAAAAAGGCAGTGAAGTAATGTTACAGTGATAAATGTTGAAGAAAAATAAATGCAAGCTTAGAGGTTTTCTGGCAAAATGTTATCCTGGGAAATAACTAGAACTACAACTTAATCATAAGCATCAATTTATTACATTCTTTATATAAAATTACACATGAGAAAAAATATCATTTTCACAATATTCTGTGAATGCCAAATATCATTGAGGCAAAAAGTTTTAAACGTCATCAAATAAAAAAAAAATATTCGCAACCATGCTTTCTCATTTATATAGTTTACTGCTCCCATAATAAATCCAGAAAACAAGTTTTCTCTTAAAAATAGGTAAACATGCATGTATGCAGGCACACATCATACCTGGTACACGTACGTTAACCTCTACTGTATTATACTGTATTTTTTTCTAGGTATTCAGTTTTGTGTACCTTATCACCATGGTAGTGGTACATTTGATTACATTTAGCTATTTAGCTATCAATCACAAAGCATATTCTCACCTGGCTGTTTGGTGTAGTATTCTATTCAGTGCTGACTGTTCATCTCCTCTCTGTGAGGCATGGTTTTGTGGACTTGGGAATGAATCACTGGAAGTACAAAAAAACAAGGGTCCGTGTCTTAAAGAGCTGTTCTATACCAGAAGTTGACCTTAAACTTTAGACCAAAATTTTATTTCAGTTTAAGATAAATCTTAAGAAATTCACTAAAAAGTAACTATTTTAATAAAATGAAAATTCACACAGGTATCTCATTCTTGTTATATAAAACACACACAATATTTTATTCGTCAATGAATCAATTAGACCATTAACTGATTTTTATATTTATCTCAATTGAAAGGATACTCAAATTTTGGTCTAAAGTTCTATTTGGAAAACAGGTCCTGAATAACCACTCAACTGGGAAGCCAAGGCACACCGTTGCTTGAAAGGTGTAATGGTATGTTCACTATGGCTAGTTACAAATTTGGTGTCAGTTTTTGAGTTAAATGTCAATAACAGGTGGTGTTACAGAGAGTTCAGGAGGCAATAATGTTACAAACACTTGGTTCCTTTTGATATAGTTGTATTTTCTAGGTTATTAAAGACTCATTACAATCAAGATCAATGCATATTGTTAGTTTAAGAATTACAGAATAAAATAGATAACCATGAACTGTTTCAATTAAAAACTTGCTCATTTGGTGCAATATCATTAAAACAATCATGCTGAATCCAGATTCTCAATTGATATGAATCCAAATCAAGCTTAATATGGAAAGCCTATCAGCCACATTATATTTAATGGTTAGTAATTAGCAGTATACTGTATTTACTCACAGTTTTCAAACACATGCAAATTATTTTTTCAACATTACTAGTTCTACTTGTAAAAATGCATATTGTGCCATGAACTTTATTCGCTTTAATCACTCTGAAAACATATCTATCTGGAATCACAAACAAAACACTGTTTTTGGAAAATATCTTTTTTGTTTGAAATAAAGTGAGTAATTACTGTAACAATGACTTCAAACCCATGCAGTGTTAGTTGTTGAAAATTTGGTTCATAATATTAGCAGATCCTTTGCACCCATTTCATATTTGCCCTCTATCTTGAGAACTTGATAAAATGAGTAAGAGGCACCGCCTGAAAACATGGCAGAGATAAAAAGCAAAAAGTGCAAAGGCATTCACATCATTAATAGTTCATTTCTTAAGTCAGTTTCAAAATAATATCAAAAATTTGTTTTAAATCATACTAGACTAAGTATGCACAATTATCCTTTTCTGGACAAATATATATTGCAACATTACATGTTGAATCATTAGGAAAAAGAAATGGCATAATTGATGTAAGGTAATCTTATCCGTTTCAAATACAGTTTAGTAATACACAGAAATGAGGCTCAATGCAATCTCATTTGGCAATGCACAGTGCCTTCAATCATTCATTTTTGATTTTGAAATTCACTAATGTTGTACATGCAGTTTTTTAAATTGACAAGAAATAAAGACATAAATCTTCACTATTACATTTACTTCTTTCAAATTCTGGAAAAGGAATATTTGTTTTGCAAATTCAAATCACCTGCATTAAATAATGACAAATCCCTTACTCAGTACAATTTTCCTCAATGCAAAATTTCACATTTCAGAAAAAATCAAATTCTCCATAGCTAGACACAGCATTGCAAATGCAAACTACAAACTATAAAACAAGTTTTGAAGTTTTGTTTTCTAGCACATGCTAGCATTTTGTTTATTATAACCATGCTTATCTATGCTTAAGCTATTAAGCTACCATGTCTCTACATTCTTGATTTGTCATCACGAAATTACATTGTATGATTCAAACTTTTCAACTATAATAATAACACAAAATACATACTAGTACAATGGTGGAATCAGAGGTAAAACGACCAGGTAATGAAACGTGGAGCAAAATGAAAGGGGGAACAATTTTCATATCCAAACTTTTGATATATGTAAAAAGTTGAGTTTTACTTCTTTTCAGAATTAATGGATTCAATGCATAACTGATTAATCAAGAAAATTCAAGAATAATACTGATAAATACATTGCCTTAAAGAAAAAAAATACTCATCCAGACAAAGTCATGGAGATTTGGAAGCAATAGTGGGGAAGGTGATGGGTATAGCCAGTACTTGTTTACAAAGGCATTAAATATTCATTTTGACATACTCAGTAGAAATTACTTCATAATGGTGGGCCAGGGAGTGGAAAATTTCAAGTTCAACCTTAAGAAATACATGAATAGGAAAAATGAAGGGTACTGCTTGACAAATTCATTGCCATCAAAAGCACATTCATTTTATTTCATTAAAGCTGTCTCAGTCTATGGGAATCATAAAAGTTCTTGCTCAAACTGGTCATAATTAAGCGACACACCCGCCCCTTACCTGCGACTGGCCCCTGGGGTTCGTTCTGACCTGTGGAATTATGGTGGACAGCTGGACTTAGTCAGTGTTATAGGCTACTTATCTCAGTTCATGTTTTACAAGACTAGTTTTAGAAACCAGCCAATAAACATGTACGTTAACACCAGTTGCACATTGTATAGAGCATGCCACCATTTGAATTTTTCAAAATAATGAATTACTTGTGAAACTGATACTTTGATGTATTGTGCAGATATAATATGCATTGCAATAAAAATCAAGTTGAACATAATTATGATAACAGGTGCTTGTGCATAGTACTAATGCATCAATATTTTCATGTTAAAATCGACAAACAGGTATAAAAATAATTATACATTTCACAAAAATACATAACAAATGCAACAAAATAATATTTTCACTGTAGCAGATAGGGTATACATTATGTAGGTAGAGAGAAATCATGGGAAATCACCTTGGGGACTTTTCCAACAAATCTGCTGATCCAAATTAGGAAAAGGAATGTTTCTGAATCTGGATACTATTTTTTGTTATGTAGAATTGGGTAGTTTTCAATTGCTGGTACCTTCCTGTTAGTACCACTAGAAACTCAACATGGCAGAGAAGACATGCAATGTTAATGAATCCTGACCAACAATAATGCCCAATCTCTTCATGCTGAAAGGGCATTTTCCTCACAATTTTTACAAGCTGATTGAATGTGAAGTAGTGATTCAAAAATGAAATTTGATGAAGGTTGTTTTTTTTTGCTCTAGTAAGATAGAGATGAAATTGTAATATTAATAATATTTTTGCAATTTAAAGATCCCATACTGGGCGAGATTCAATCATAATTCCATCTTTATCTTAATGAGTGGTTGATTCCTTACCTTTTTAAATACAAGTACTTTGTCTCAAGCTCAGGGAATGGCCATTAATTTTCACATTTTCCATACAAACATTTTTTTAAAGATATGCAATGTTTCAAGAAAAAGATTTGTTTCTCTTTTCATCTCATACATTTCTCGTTCTTTCACTGAAATGACATCTGCAAATGCTCCCAGCAACTTACAGATAGAATCTGCAACTTGTGACTTTTCAATATAGAATTTTAAAGGCCCCAAGATGCAACAAAACCAAAAATCAAGAAGCTTGAGAACTAAGTAAAATTAAAAGAAAAAAAAAAAAAGGAATAACTCCCCCCCCAAAACGATAAATTGTGAAACCTAGGAATGTCACGACTCTAAAGGAAAATAAAATGTGAAGGAACCATTATGGGTCATGGATTAATATGCATAATGTTCTCTACCTAGGCACAAGTCTCGGTGAATTGCTACTACCAGGATGGTTGCCTATAAGACTTGAACGTTCATCAGGCTCCTGCTCCTATGGAAATAAAAGTAAACAAAGAAAAATAAACAACAACAACAACAACAACAAATGCTCTCTTCTTGCCTGACAACCTAACTGCCAACTGTATCAGCAATGCAAAGAATGAGAAACAAACAATCAAGACAGTGATTAATTTTTTGTCATCAGCATGATTTGTGGATGAACAGGCACTAATCTGTCTGTAATACATGCATAGTAACAAATAATCTTTTGAACAATATCTGCATTGCTGACACAGTTTCATACAGATTGTCAGTGAAGATTGGCTGGATATGGCTATACCATCTTACCCACCTAGTGACAGGTCTTGAGACATTATTGCTGACAGGGTTGCCTAAAAGTCGAGTTCTTTCATCAGGATCATTGATCTGTAAGACAATTACACTGCTCGAAAAAAATTATGGCAAGCACTTCATGATTGCTATTTTGGTATGCGGGCAACTCTAATAGATATTCAAAGTTCACTTTATAAAGTAAGACAGGTTTCAATATTAAAAATTCTGAAAATATTATGCTGTTCGTTCAAGATGACAAATTATAATATAAATAAACCTCATTTCCATGATACATCTTTTTATCAAATATACCGTCTTACTTTTGGCACAATTTGTATAAAAATGTCAAACCATGTATCATTAAAGATGATATTTACAAGGATTTTCAGTTTGTGATACTTCTTAAGCACACAATTTACCACAAAGACTTACTAAAGTAGTGAGATGGGGGAAAGGGGGGTCACAGACAGACTAATTTTACCTCGGTGAAAGCAAAAGTGCTATATAATTATACAACATTCTGTTGATTTGCACAACTTTTGGTAAGCAGATACGACTCTGTTAAATAGTTCCCGATAGGTATGGTACATAGAAAAACACCATTTAAAGTACCTGTAAACTTGGTAATGTTTACAATATTATAGTGCATAGAGTATAATCTTAAAACCTACAATAACAGTACAACGAATTCTCCATTTGAAGTAACCTGTTAATTGTGTTGCATCTGGCATTACAATTTAACGAAGACAACGACTCAATGATTGTTACATGCTACACAGATAAATGAACATTGTATAATTTCTAGTAGAGAGGTACATGTACTGTACTGCTACAGCTGTACATGTACTAGTACATGCCATCACAAAACTCCCAATGACAGCTCAACCTCAATACACATTCAAAATGCTGTTGTGAATTTTCTACTTTCGTAAGATGTTCTTCGACATGTAATCACCTGGAAGCCCTTGTCATCCGATGGACAGCAACAATTCCCCATAGTTTAGCCAAATCTCATGTACCTCCTTGGTTTCGCATATCAGTCAAGTCGTCTCGCCTCCAAGCCGGATCATGTGACTAGTAATGATAAGAACAAAATTGCCTTCGTGTCATTGATTGGATATAAGAACTTTTGACCTTGAAAGTTTTACTTACAGAACATAACAACATTTATGAGTATGATATATTTTTCCTTGAAACAGTTAAAAATTATATAAATTTCCATATTTAATGGATAATTTGTTTCCGATATTTTATTAGAAACATTTGGTGCTGGACCAAAAAAGATGGCAGCGCCCATGTCCTGCTGTCGCCGAGCACTATTACAGCGTTTTAGGGGCCAAAGCTACTGCATACGTCCGCCTGTTAGACTAAGCTCATCTATTTCCAAAATCTTAAATGGAGATGTAGAGAAAACTGAGCTATCGGTCACGGTAAGTATAGGTAGAACCCTTTATTTATGGACTAATGAAACTTCATTTGACTTCGTTTTAACGAAAACCACCGTATGTACAGTATATATACTGTAACTTACAGTTGTATTTTAGGTTTTTAAAATAAAGGTTTCTTATGTTACCATGTGGTCTCAAAGTCTGTAGTTTATTTGGCCATTCTCGAGCATGCTTATAATCGTCCTGAAACCAGAAATTCCCTTTCTTTTCTACAAATCTTGAAATAATTATACGCTGATACTACTGAGTACGTACTGGATCTAAATTCCAATGAGATAATGCTGGCAGTATAACCGGCTACCTCTGGTACCAGTGGTTACTCAGGAAGACCAGTGAAAGGCACTACAATACATGCACATTACGCTCTTGCGTTCCCCTCTCAAATCCATTGTTGCAGAAGGGAGAAATATGTGACCTATTCTGCATTCTAACAACAGAAATTCTCACCAGCCACCAACAAAATTTTGTCTTTGAGTTGAAGACAGTGTGATACTGACAGCTACCAGGGAATCCCTACAGTCACATTTACTTAATTATTTGTCATTTCCCTATCCATATAACTAAATTGTGCTTGTTTTATGCTACTCGATCTATGCTTGTTACGACACTGGATGGTTGCAAAAGACTAAAGTTGAAATACAATTGTTACCAAAAATCAGATTTAAGAGTTCTAAGCACAATCTTTAGATATGTCCAATTTCAACAGCAGATAAGTCTGCCATAGCAAATCTTCCTGCTGTAGCTAATATGCTGACATTTCTTTATAGGGCTGGGTGAAATCTGTGAGAGATCAAAAGGAAGTGGCTTTTTTGCACATGAATGATGGATCCTGCAATGAACATCTGCAGGTGGTGGCCAGACCAGAGATGGTGGAGAAGTAAGTATGACCAGCGGTCATCCTAGAGAGTAGTAAACATTAAAGGGATAACAATTGTTCATATGATATCTATTATTTACAATAAATACATAGTAAACACCTCACAGAAATATAATAGATTCTATTTTACCACCAAAACAGCGGTTAATGCAATTGTTTTGGAATTTGTGTTTGCCATCACATCATGTGACCTCCATTGATGGCCACACTTTGTAATAATCTCTTAAGAGAATATTATTTAAAAAAACTCTTTAGAAAAAAAAGCAGGGACTAACTTTGAATGTCGCAAAGGACAAAACTTGTTATCTTAGAGGAGTGACCACAGTTTCAAACATGGTTATCCTTCGAGTGTCGAAAACGTAAATATTATATGACAATAACAGTTATAATTATAATAATGAAGACTCATGTTTGCTTTGCCTTTGGTTTATGCTTATTTTATTTAAAAGTGAACTGTGATGATGAACCATTGTGTATAAATTGTATTGGTAAACTCCACTGTCCTGTTATATTTATTTTTTCCCTTTATTTCCTTTTTCTTTTTAGCGTGACATATGGAAGCTATGTTAAAGTTAAAGGGCAACTTGTAGACAGTCCAAAAGACGGACAGACCTTTGAACTTTTAGCAGAGGATTTGAAACTGATAGGATCATGTGATCCAGATGTGGGTAACAGAGGGTTTTGGAATTTTTTTAAGTACAAAATATTTAAAGTGTTAGTGCAAATTATGAAAATAGAACAGTTGGATTTATTTCTATATGTTTGCTACTACCTATACATGTACATGTAACAATAATTAGGGCCCTTGTACCTTTTGACTTCTTGTACATGACATATTATTGACATAATAATGTCTTCTTTTTCTACTTTAGGTTTATCCTTTTAAACCCCGTACACACCACCCCTTAGTGTATGGCAGAGAGTACCCACATCTTAGACCCAGGACCAACATTTTTGGTGCAGCAATGAGGATCAGGAATGCGGCCACTATGGCATTGCACTCATTTTTCCAGGTAAATATGCAGTAGCCCAAACAAGGGTACTGGAAATTGAAATAGAAAAATAGAATTTAAAGAAAGATAAGACAAATTTTTGTTAGATAAAAATGTTTATTGAATTTTTTTCTTTGTTTATTCCTGAATGTCAGATGTCCACTGAATCACATTTTCTGTACATTCAAAGCAGTTTTACTGAATATATCATTCAAATTTTGTATTTGAATTTTGTTTGGCTTGAATAAACATAACAGAGCAAACATACTTTACGCGATCTCATCTTTTTTATTTTTACCAGATTAAATTATATCAACATTACATATTTTTGTTGTTAAGTGTTAATAAAGCACAAGACTAGAGTCATGACATAAATAACTTGCTTACCTTTCCTAATGCAACACATGAATACAGGTAAACGTTGGAAACAACCTGTTCATACATTTACAGTATTAGATTATGGATAGGTTTAATAATCACATCAATAATTATCATTTTTACTCTCAACTGTTACAACAGAGAATTCCATACTTTTATTTCCTACAGAGTGTCTAGAATATTATTGTTCTGGCTGTTTTAGCAAGAAGGTTATCTACATGTGCACACCCCTGTCATCACTACCAACGACTGTGAAGGAGCTGGAGAAGTGTTCCGAGTAGAGGTGGGACAATGTTTTTGTGCTTGTGTTAACAACTGACCCAATTTACACATTCTGTGATGGACCATGTTCGTGACTGAACAAGCTTCAATTAAAAATTATCATAATAGTCTTATTGGTGTTGCCAGCTCACCAGATTTGGGAAAATAAAAATCAATGTTTAGGTGTATTCCATTAGACTAATACATTAAAATCAGTAGCTTAAAGACTAATTTCAGGCTTATTTTGTTCTGGTTGTAATCACCTGCTTATTTTATTAAATAATAAGTTTTTATGATAATAAAAGTAAGCTCATCTAATAATTTATATTATAGAATATATAATAATATTATGCAAAAATGAACCTATTAGTTGGTAACTACATACTAAGAATAAGACAGACATGATATTTATTTTCAGTTTTAAATTAAATTCTTGGTCTTTTGTTTCATTTACAGTTTACATTGTAGTAAGTTAACTGAATAGGTGAGTCATAAATGTGCAACAAAGTTTTCTCTATTTGATGGTAACCGTAGATTGTGGAAAATCTCACAAATACTGGTATTGTAATGAATTCAAAAGTTTAAATGTGAAATCCTACTAAATTTCAATGTTTTGTTTCTCCACTAAAGCCTCACAGAAAAGAAATCATGGAAGACATAAAAAAAGAAGATGAAAAAGAGGGAGACAGTAGTAATCCACATTTCTTCAGTGCTCCAGCCTTCTTAACAGTATCAGGACAACTCCACCTAGAAGTATTGACGGGGTATGTCTTGAAGTTATGCTGCCACCTTGTGGCTTGAACATGAATTTATTATATGGTGTTTGTATATTTAATGTGCAAATTAATGTATGTCACAATTCTGGGAATAAATTCATCAATTCAAACTGTTTTCAATGTCACTTCAGAAATTGATTTTTCCATTCTAAAAAATCATATCCAACTTTATATACCATTTATAAGAAAGTAAAACAAATAACATACGGTTACTTTTTTTTAGGTCATAACTAAAGTACTTATTGAATATTACAAAGATAATTTGTTTTTCAGTGCTTTTTCTAAAGTCTATACCTTTGGTCCAACTTTCCGTGCTGAGAACAGTCGTGACAGGCTTCACCTGGCAGAGTTTTATATGGTGGAAGCTGAGCTTACAGATACACACTCTTTACACGATTTAACAGAGGTACATGTTAGGAAATACATTTGGAATCTAATTTACACTTTCACTGATTAATCAATAGATTGATCAGATAAATAGTCATTTTGTGTTTAATATATTTTCTTCTTACAAAAAAATTTTTTCGGATTTATTTTTGCATTGTGTTGTCATTTTTTTTAAATGCTTTACTTTTCCTCAAATGGTAGTTGTTAAGTGTAAATAATGTTAACTGTCAAAATTTTAAAAAGAGCAATCATTTTGTTTGTTACACTGCAATATAACAAAAAGTCTTTTGCTGTGTTTTTCTTTCAGGTCATTGAAAAAACAGTGAAACACACAACTGAAGCTCTTTTAACCAATTGCCAGTCAGACATGAAGACATATTTCAAACACGTTGCTCCAAGTGAACACCATGTGAGTAAGATATAATTGTCTTTTGTTCATCTGCAGTTTTTCAATTTTCTGTAACGTTTATTTAAAAAATGTCTAAAAAGGAGTCAGGGAAGTTTAGTGGAGAAGATGGCAACAGAAGTAGTAAGATTATCAGTTTCCAACATTGTATTTATTCAAATATAATTGTTATTATATCAACTGTTATGTATAAGTGTGGTTTACTATGAAAATGTACCTTTGCCAGTATTGTTATATCATTAGGCTGAAGGTCTTCTAGAGAATAAATCATTATGGTGAATTGTGAGGAAGAGGGGGGGGAGGGACAGAATTGCAACTTCAAAAACTTTATATTGAGAATAACTTCTTGGAAATAAACTTTTCTGTTATGATAATTTCATTATTAGGTATTGTATTTTTAGACCCATCTGAAAGAAATGCTGTCCAATGATTTTAAAAGGTAAGAAAACTCATATTGTTATCAAATAAATGTTTGATTGCTTTTAATCCAGAAATGTTTGCATGGTAGCAAAATACAATGATGATGAAGTGGAATGTAAAACAAGCTCACCTTAAAATCTCAGAGGTATTTTGAAAAATACTAAAAAAAGTCCTTCTAAGTGTCGTAATGTCTTTCTTTAAGAAGAAACAAATAAATGAAAAAAAGATTGTTTTGCTGTTTAACCTAACAGTGCAGGAGTCATCATAATTACCAGTTTGAGATTATTATTATTATTTTTTTTTTTTTTTGCAGCATTACCTATACAGAAGCAATTGAAATATTAATAAAGCACAATGAAGAATTAACTTTCAAACTACAGGTATGTACTAATATGTAATGAATTATTTAAAAAAATTATTGTTTTCTTTATTACCACTTTAATACTTACTTTTACTGGCAGATTCAGGAAACCTCGGTTGATATGCATATTTTGCTTCTGATCCCTGGCACCAAAGGGCTCATTCTCAATATTAATGAAATTATTGTCTACATAGATTGTTCTAACACTGCAGGGATTCTTGCTAAATGCAGTCAGATTAACATGCCTCCTCCTGATGTAAAGTAGAGTGCACAAAAGCAAATTGGATTATATGAGTATGTTAGAAACTAGAGGAAGCATGTTAATCTGTTAAACTGATTGCATTCGGCGAGAGTCCCCATGGAGCTGGAGCGATCTTCGTAGAACGACAATTATAGTTTCATTGTGAATTAGTCCTAAGCCTGGATTCCTGCTAACCATATGATGTTCATGGGCTGCCCCGGTGTACCATGAAAATCTGACTCCCCTAAAATGTGACTCCCCAGTCAGATTTTCATTATGAAAATGTGACTCCCCAGTCAGATTTTCATAATGAAAATGTGACTCCCCCTATGAAATTTTGACTCCCCCCAAAAAAACATTCATTAATTAATTTTTCATTATGAAAATCTGACTGGGGGAGTCAGATTTTCATGGGAGTCAGATTTTCATGTTACCCTGGCTTTGAAACCTAAGGAAATTACTTTCACCTACACTGCATTTTTCTTTGTAGACCGATTTTTTTTTTTTTGACAAAATGCAATTACTCATTTTTTGACATGGCTGTTAGATTATATTTGGAAGGTGATTTGGTAGACACTATGCAGCTATTATTTTATTTCCCATCTTTAATTTCAACAGACAATTTTACATTTATTTTTGCATGGAGAGATGTTTGAATAACAAATACAGCAAATGTGCATTAGCGCAGATAAGTAAGTTATTCAGAAATATTCAGTATGTGAGGTATGCTTTTTAAAACAAAACACTCGGAATATATGAATAATTTGTTATTATTTTTGATTTACAGTGGGGAGATGATTTGAAAAAAGAACATGAAAAGTTTCTGGTTTCTCACTTTGGCTCTCTTCCTTTGTTTGTCACAGACTTTCCATTAGAACTTAAACCTTTTTATGCAAGAAGTAATGAAGATGGAAAAACTGTAAGTATATCTACTTTCTTTAGCAGACAATTTCGTTATTTAAGTTAATAAAAGAGTGCTGCATGATAGAAAGTTGGGCACTGTTATGATTTTGTGTCATTCATGACACAAAAGTGTATATATGGTAGAAGTCAAAGCAGTATATGGAATCCTGTTGCATAACACTGTTAAACTAAGTCTTATTTCGTTGATGTTTTTGGAAGGTAGACCATGCATTTAGGTTTTATGATGTATAGTTACAGTAACTGTTCTTTTATGTCATTTAAATGAAAATTGTTCCAGAAGAGCAATGTATAGCTTACACTGTACTGAAAATATGTTTTCTTTTTTTGGTGTGCACTTTTGCATAATTATGATGTTTTAAATGTGTGGTGTACAAAAGTCGTTCACAAACTATTCTTTCATTCCTGCAGGCAGCAGCAGTGGATTTATTAGTTCCAGATGTTGGAGAGTTATTTGGTGGAACTATAAGAGAAGAAAGATATGACATACTGAGAGAAAAAATAAACAAATTAGGCCTAGAGGCAGATCTGATGTGGTAAGTATAAAATTTGGGTTGGTGATTTATATGAACTTTTATTAACATCATATACAGACTGATTTGTTGGTGTACAGACCCTCTGTAATTTTTTAGTTTTTCTTTTTCCTGCAGGCACTTACAATTTTATTGACTGTGTCATATAGTCATTTTTAATAAAAATATTTTAGTAATCCAAAAAATTCAGTAGTTATGTATCAATTTGAAGATGCCCTCTTTGAATAATAACATGGCCCTTATTACATATCTTTCCCTTTGTTGTAGGTATTTGGATCTCCGTCGGTTTGGCTCTGCTCCTCATGGAGGGTTTGGTATGGGCTTTGAGCGCTACCTGCAGTATGTATTAGGACTTCAAAATATCAGAGACACTATTCCTTTCCCTAGAACTGTAAGGTCATGTAGACTCTAAAAGTGCACATCTGTCACAGCTGAATTTTTTTTTTGTCTCCTTCGCCCATCGTTTTTTTTTTTTTTTCATTTTTGACAGGCACCCAAACAAATGTCCACTGACTAACCAACAGTTTCATTTTGAAATGAAATGGAATGAAATTGTCGTTCTTATTTTTCTCACTTCATTTTTATCAGTTATGACAAAATGCCTGTTATTTTTTGTTAAGAATAGATGCTGAGACGATGTGAATTTTTCTGCATTCTCAGTATTCTTTCAGTTGTACTTGATAAAAGACCATGACATTGGAAAAAAATGTAATCAATGTATAAAGAATTGTGCAAGCCATTGGATTCTTTTAACTACCAGTGTTATGGAGAATTGTTACACTGAATTTTTAGTGAAAGACTTAGTGCTATTTTCACATATGCAGATGTATAATATAATGCAAACCTTTTTCCCTTGCAAAACAAGGAGATAAAAATCTGAGAAATATGCTACAATAGTAAAAAGTAGTTTACTGAAAAAATAATTTTGAACTTACATAAAGTTAAATGTTTTGATCATTTTAAGAGTCAATGTCTTGTTAGTAGTCCTTATGATTGAGGAAATCGGTATGTTATGAAAATATATTTTTTGTTGACTTGTTGTCAAGCTGGATAGGGTAATTGTTTTGTTTATCCTTTTTAATTTATTATCATTCTTACATTTATCAATCAATAATCAACTTAAAATTACTTATTGTAGTTGGTTTTTCTTGTAACTTCTGGGAAACCTTCAGTGTACAGAGTTTTATAATACCCAATAAATTTGTACAGCAGTACAATATTTAAAATACATGTTGAAGTGTATTTGAAATATTTACTATAATACAATAATTCTTACTATGTCTCTTTGGAGGAAATAACATTATGCCAATGGTCATTGTCAATTCTGAACACTTTGAACACAAGAATTATTAAAAAAACAATTATAATAAAATAATAGGTGCCATGTTTTTAAACTTAGGTTAGATGTGAGAGCATATGAATAACAAGAAGTATGTCATATACTTACTATTAAGTAATTAAGTGCAAATAAATTACACAACAAATTTATGACTGAATGAAAAAATTGAAGAAGATTCATGAATTTTAGTAATAATGTCGTAACGTGCTAAACTATTGCTCCATGTTTGAAGATTCCAAGTTTTTATTAATTAATAAACCAATGACCATTCTACTGTGTAAAAAAGCAAAACTCTGAGTTAGCACAATTTTCCCTATTTGCTCTATTTTCTGTTAAGCTAGCTAGCCTGAAGTGCACTGTGTATTTGTTCTGCTAAAGCCTTGGGATCTGAATGAACAAGAAGGCATGTACTCCAAAAATAATAAGATTCTAATTATTTTTTCAGTTTGAATGTGATACGTATTAAACAAAGCAGTTATAAGTTAGTTAATATATGGAAGAAGCACAGAGACACTGTGATTAAAGCAGTGAAGATGCGGCTGGCATAACCTGTCATGACTTGCAGCAAACCCAGTTAAAGGCCCTCAGAGTTAGTAGACAGTCCTGTAGATTATGGCAAGTCTTAGAGTAGATGTTCAGGGACGGATTAAGGCAGTCTCCTTGGTGTTTTGGAAGACGGTCAGATTTTCAAGTTTACACTGTTGGGCGTATAATTTTTTTCTGTCAGAAGACAGTAAAAAAATGGAGGATGGATCAACAAAGATAATTTGGAAGACTCTCAGAAAATATCTTTGGGTCTGCTCTGGATGTTGTTTATCTACCATGATATGAAGCAGCCTGCAATGGTGAATATATGCACTGGTATATGACTATAACAATTTCATTTTTTTTTTTGAAAACTAAAAAGGTCAGTATACAATTTTGTGTATGTCTTACATTTTCTTTATATCTGATACCATAGTCTATCCTTTGGTCTAGAGGGACAATGATATCACTTTTCAAGTGATTATGTCTCTACCCTTTGCTAAAAAAATGCAATTTCACTGAAGAAGAAAATGGAAGTAACAATATCTTAGGGTGCATTCCCAGAGATTTAGATCGATCCAGAGATTTAGATTTAGATCCTGGGGGTTCACGCTAAATTGCAGTGCACACCATAGTTAATTAGCCCCTTACAGCTTTTAGTAGGCGGGACAGACGCTTAAGCCGTCTAAGCTGACAGTAATCTAGTGAGACTCCCCACAGGGATAATTCAATCTAAAATCTATGGGAATGGGGTCCTAAACTCTGTGTTTCATTCATTAAACTGGCTTACCAGTTTTCAACTTGGTGAGTTTATCCATGTATTATATAATATTAGAATTTGGGACTCAATGGAATGATGATTGGTAAAATGAGACCCCAGGGAAATTGGTCAATTGTGTATTTTGGACTTAAAGCCTGTGTATAGTCCCTGTGGAATGCTTAATCTGAAAAGCATAAAATGACTTGTTTCTACAGCTGAAGGTACGTCTTTAAAGCAATGTTTGTGTACTTGAAGTCTGTCAAGATTGTGTATCTTGAAATAAATGGTGCTTGGCCTGTTCCTCTTGGTCATCACTGTTGGCTGTTATCTTCTCATTAGCTGAAGAAGCAAAAAAAATCTATTCACTTGGTCATTGATATTTTATAAGAGCAAGTATAGGAAGTATAGGAAGTTCAAAAGAAGAAAAGTAAGACCTAAGATGTGCACAAGAACATAATTATATTATTCTTTTATTCAGATTGTGCAATCAGGTTCTTTATTCTTAGACATCTTTAGGTCTCAATTTAATGCTGTAAAATGCCAGGAACAATATAACAATGGGGCACAGGTAAACTATGTGCAAACCAAACATTCATGATTTGATCTCATTAAATGTGACATTGTTCCAGCTTGTGAAAGTATGCTAATCCTTGTGCCCTCTCCCCCCCCCATCCCCCCCAGCTTGCATTAAGTGTGTTAGACTTAATGTAACCTCCTTTACTTATTTTTGAGGACATATGCAGTCACTTAAATTGAGCAAGCACTGCACTGGGGTTGCAGATTTTCTCACCATTATCCCTTAGCTGCAATTCAGCTGGATCTTTCTTGCCTGTGTCTTTTTGTGGCTCACTGTGATGCTTCTTATGTAGAACAAAGTGTTCCAATGGCCAAACAATGATGAGCGCAACTAGCGCAGAGATTGCAAAACTTCGGAACATGATAACTCCACCATATTTGTTGTAGATCTGTCCAGCTATCAAGGAACCAATGCCATAACCTGAAAGATTTACAATGTATATTTATGCAATTTAAACTGTGACACTTAATAATATGCCTCAAACAAAATGTGTAGTGTAGACATCAACTTAGCAAGCTGCAGTAAACTCTGGGGACCCAGGACATTGTAAATAAATATACAGGTAGTAAGTGAAGAAGAGCAGGACAGCCTTCTCCTCCCCTCCAATAAAATGGAATGTTTTTTCTTTTCACAAAGAGTTCAGCATTAAAAGAGTTCTGCATCAGCCATTCATTTAACAAGTTCCAAAAATAATTATTATTTTTTATTTCTTGTTTTGATATGATCTCTACTGCGGCCCACATTTTCTAAAAAGAATGCTTACCCAAACTCCAGTGCAATCCTCCCACCAGACCTTGTAAGGTAGCAGACATTCCTGGAGGTGCAATGATATCTGTATACTCCGTAGCAGCAGCAAATAACAAACCATAAGTAACAGCATGGGTGGGCTCTATGAGAAACACGTACCATGGATTGGTCAGAAATGAATACGCTCCGAGCCGAATAGCATATACCCCCATGGTGATGAACAGAATTGCCTTATGCCCAATTTTGTTGATAATCCATCCAGAAAAATATAGCATTGGGCTTTCAGCTGCACAGTTGACAACCAAGGTCAACCCCATGAGTACCTTGGGGCTACACAGCTCCCCAAGGTACCAAAAGAGAAATGTGTGGAGAGCACCTCCATGCATACCAAAGATGAACATAATTATCAGAAAAATACAAATCTCTGCATCTTTGATCAACAGTGATAGATTCTGCATCATCTGAGTACAATGGATGTCCTTCGGGATGTTCATGAAGTAGCCACTCACTGCAGCAAGCATTGACAGAGACCCAGATAGGATGAAGGCTGCATAGAAGTTGGGCTCTGAAGTTTGCTGAGTAAAGGAGTCCATGAAGAGGCCAGAAATTACCGCAAACATAGCCCAACCAAGTGTACCAAATACTCTGGTACGGCCCCAACTTGTTCTGTGCTTTTCAGTTAATATGCTTAAAGACATGGCATCTGCTAAAGGGAGGCACACTGCCTGAAACATCTGAGAAAGAAGATACAGAAGGAAGAAAAGCCCAAATGTCAAACCCTTGTCATTGACTTTTTGTCTCTTCTGAGGTGTGCTTTCCTTGCAGGCCAGATCACACTTCAAAGCCAATGGATCCTTTACCTGAACACTGTCAAATTGTGAACTATTCACTTCAAATGAGTCAATGAGGTACTGTGGGCATTTCATTGCAGGTGTTAAATCAAGTTGAGCTTGAGTGACATTTTCAGCAATCAGTTGTAATGATACATTTTGCATCTGCAAGCTTTCAAAGTTCTCATAATCTTGGCAATACGCAGTTCTTTGGAAGCAAAGTTTTGCGGCTTCGGTGTTATTATCAGATATTGTACATGTTAACGAACAGTCGCTTATGAAGTGCAGATAATTGCCGTCCTTATTTGATTGTGGGCACTTATCCTCTTCAGTAGGAGTGTTGAAATCCAATTCATACAATTGGCATTTACTGACAATAACATTACTATTATTTGCAAATAAATACACCCTGACTGGTTCCTGCCCTGCTGAAACCTGTGGCACCAAAAGACACATCAAGCCAAACACCGCACCAACTACTGAGGTCAATATCAGGACAAGTTTGTGTTTGTGGAATTTGTCTGCCAGCATACACCACAATGGTTTGATGAAGAAACTGATGAAAGGCATCGATCCATAGACAATGGCAGATTCCGATGCACTAAGACCTATGTGCTGCATGTACAGCGGTAGGTAAGGTACCAATGACGCCATTGCTGAAAAAAATCTGTATGGTTATTTTAAATGGGATTTTACTGCAATCAGATGTATCACAGAAATGGTTTTACAAATATCAATTCAAATTCAGATTTATAGAAATAAATATCACAGTAAAATATAGAGTAGCCTAATTATGCCATTAATAATTACGTCAGTGTGTTCTATTCTTCTTTTTGTTTTAAATGCTGCAGATAAGAGTAATAATTCTACATACAAACCTCCTGTTTTAACGATGATTATTTGCTCTTTTTAAGAATTATCTGAAATGTTTTGACCTAACGAGATAGTGACCCAGTGCAAGCCTTCGGATTCAAATTTGGCAGAAAAAATAGCCAATGCCATTCTCACAAGTACAATGTATGTGCAGTAGTATCGACCTAGCATGAGTTTGTATTTTTTTTCTTATTTTTCAGCTGGAGTCTCAAGTCCATGTTTGGTAGACTATGCAACATTATATCTTCAGAGGATAATAAAGATGGTTTATGATAAATAACAGAGAAAAAATTGGTCGAATTTATGTGAGATCCTTTTCTCGTTTGAATATGGGAAATGAAAAGCTTTTGAGTCTGATATAAACGGTGATATAAAACATGTTTCAAATCTTATCACGTACAACTAAGAAAGCACTCAGGGATTTCAGATTTCTCATTATTACTAATTATTCAGTCATCCACTAATTAATTAGCTAAATATCATTATTTTAAAGTATTCCCTTTTTTCAGTATTTAATAAGTTAATCACCGCCAAAATCCATAATTTTATTAACCGACAAACAGCAAACAGAGCCGAAAAGTTATAATTACATTCGTGGCGGAGGCAACAAATGTGACGAATCCAACGAGTACGTTATGTCCATAGAGAAATGACCCTAAGGAGCGGATTTAGGCCGTTTACTGAGTCTTGTGGAAGACGGTCAGATTTTCAAGTTTACATTGACGAGTATCTAATTTTCCTGCCGGAAGACGGTCAAAAATGAAGAATGGATCAACAAAGATAATTGGGAAGACTGTCGGAAAATATCTCTGAATCCGCCTCTGAATGTATGTGTTTAACTTACCAGCCAAGAAAAAGAAGTAATATAACTTGCATGGTAGGAGCGGAGTGTTGATTTTCACCGGCCTACACTTCATTGTGAATCACTGAAGTAAAAAAAAAAAAAATGACTGAAAAAGGAGATATATATTCTTTACTGGATCAATTTGCAGTGCATGTCTCACTCTAAACACAATACAAAGGCACAGGTAAAATAAACAGTCTACATATAGCAGAAAATTTAATTATGATAGTGGAGCTATACATGTAGGCACATTTAGGCATAAGACAAGATGAAACGTAAATGAATAATACATGAAAGTCACTTTCAACCGTCATCTTGTTTACCTTTGTATTGTATGGCTCTCAGTCATAAAGTTAATGGCAGCAGCTAGCAGTTAACCGCGGCCATATCATCCTTGTCTCCTTGCCTTGTATAGTAAACACATTTATATTCTAAGGTTGACTCCATAGTGTCTGCTTTAACCAAATATAATGCGCGACCTATTTATTTCCGACAACAATTTTGTACATATTCTCTCAATGAGAACGCAGCCATAGTCTCCAATGTACTAGTATTAAATGGTGATATAAATAGAAAAGATCTATCACATGACGTGAAATGCATGCTGTGCATATATCGGTCTTCACAATGCACAGCAAAATATTAGAGATGTACAAAAAAGAATCGTCACGCCATTCGTATTACGTGTAGCACTTACCTGTTTTTTTAGCAATAGTGTGTTAGCCTACATATTTGCCAAAATAACATACCAGTAGCTGCAGTAGCTGTGGCTAGGTTACCCTATGACCTGATTGGCAACGTGCGTCGTGTTACAACAAAAGAAGGGTGAAAACAGCATATGCGTCGGTTGTATAGCCCTCTGTTATCACGGGCCTCTAAATACACAGGGGGCTATACTTAACATATACTTAAAGTATAGCCCCCTGTGGGAAAACACCCAATCGGCTCGTCTGGCGTCATGTAACTACACTGCCCCTTCCCTCCTCTTAAACGGTGTCTCTGTAGTACCGGTACATATACTTTCTTCATACTGACTACGCCAGACTAGCTGAGCTGGTGAAAATGTGCAGAAATAAAGTAATAGCAACAATAAAAAATTACATAGATAAATATCATCAAAATTATATGTATAATATACATCGTCATTACATGTACATATCCAGAATTTCATATACATATGCTAGGTGCGCTCTTAATGTCGGGTCAACTTCTCATAGCACTGATCGTACGCTAGCATCATACTGCAAGTTTGGTATATGTCACAGGCCAGGTACCAATCTAGTCCGCTTCCTAACAGGCCCACGTCCCAATTGGGTCTTTGCATTGTTAACAGCATAATAAGTATGCTAATTGGCCAAGTAATTTACATGTCCAAACCCATTTTCTCCATGACATACTATGGCTTGTGTTATGAAAGTTATACCCCATTTACACTGGACGGCGTCCTTTCTGCGACCATGAAATTTGGCATCGCTGTGGTCTTAATAAGGAGGCACGAGCATTAATTTTGTATCAGAATGAATGCTCAATGATCGGCCAGTTGTCGGGACGTAAAGCATTATAATTTTTTAACTCTCAAATGGGGCCGTACTGCTGGACGCAGAAAGGACGCCGTCCAGTGTAAAGGGGGCTTTAGTGTTTGTAAGGAGATCAAAGTTTTCTGCCCGGAATGCTCACGGCTAGCATTAGACCTGACAATACCAAATTCACCATTTACACTGGACGGCGTCCTTTCTGCGTCCTTTGTGCGACCATGAAACTGACCAGGACGGCGTTGGACGCTCAAAGAACGCACGGTGATCGCTAACAATACGTTTCTCGGCCTCGGTTACTTGAAGCAAGGTGAGATAAAAAGGTCACATCGACGGCAACTTATCCACCGTGGCACAGCGTTGCATATGTTTCCTGCAGGCAACACATGGAGGAGCAGATTAAAAAAGGCTGAGGACCAGGGTGTCATTGAGAAAGTTACAGGCCCAACAGCCTGGGTCTCTCCCATCGTAGCCGATCCCAAACATGGGAAATTGAGAGTTTTTGTAGATACGAGTGGAGTAAACAATGCATACCAGTCATGTCTCTTAGAAAAACCAAACTACCAGTCGCTTATTTAGGGCTGTTTAGTGCTAACTGGAGAACTCGTATACATATTGATCAATATAACAAGTAGTATATGTTGTATTCATTCATTCCGCTTAAAAGCATTCTGCAAGGGATTATACCCGCTAAAATGATTTTTCTTGGAAAACAGCAATTCTCTCCTACCCACGAATCATTGCTTGAGCCATTCCTGCATTTGGGTAGTGAACACCGTTTCATTTCATTTTCAGTCTGATAGTCTAGTTTTAAATGACTGGCCAGCTGTTTAAACATCTGCCTTCCCATGAATTAATTTTCACTTAATAAGACTACAAAATAGCGCGGTATTTTGCATCGCAGCCCTGTATATTATCAATTTTTTTTTTATTTTGCATATTATTTGCGTTTCCTTAAATTGCACTTCTCCATTTGAAGAAAAAAAGGCAAAATGCAGATGATTCTTACATGTATAATTAATAGCAGTCTTTGAAACAGCGTTATGCAGTATTTAGTTATTGATTAATCGAAAGATGCTGAGCTGAGAACAAAAAACTCCGGTTTCTTTGCTGGGAAATAATAAAATATTTCGTTTTGTTGGGTTTTCTTGGTGGGTGACAGATACAGTCTTAGGTTAACTTCGCCATTCCTTGCATACCCTTAATTAAAACATTTGTATAATCTTGGTCCGTATAATTACAACGCTAAGGGAACGGTTATATCGAGCAGTGACAACTAGCTGGAATTCAACAATGACGTTTATATCCAGGAAAGTCACTTATCTATTGTCCTTCATACAGACTTGACATTTAATATGGAATATTTCGGTTTCGAAGGTATGCCTAGGTGAAAATGCATTCTTTTTTTCACAAACTCCGATCTCATATAAGATATGTGATTGGAGAAGTGTGTAGTCAGGTGTCTCGCTACCAATTAACTGAATACCAGGTTTGTTGCGCTGCTGCATTATGTAATATGCAGTGATTTAATTGGGTAGTGCTCCTTTGGGCTGGTCAAAGCTTGGGTTTGGCAAAGCATGGTTNATATATATGAGTGTAAACAAATGATTTGAAATGCGGTAAAATATAAATGGTTGCAAGAGGTCCATTCATTTTTAAGTAAAAATAAAAAAAACTTTATATTAACAATACGTTGATTTATTCCACCTAATGCTCAGCAGTCGCATTTTAAATTACGCATGGTGAACAACGATTAATGGGAAACAAAGTACGAGTATTACGTGGCCCTATATGTATGTATATTAAAATTCGCACAAATGACATTCCAAACTTATAAATAGACAACTAATAGATATGTGAATAAATAAATCCGATAGTAAATAAATAAGACAAAGTTGCATTCGACCTTTGTGATAGTTATTTATTTATGATAGACATATAATGGAAACGGGTTCGCCGCAAATCCATCAATAAAACCGAAGTGATAACATTTGATAGCTTTAATAGGGTTCTAATTAGATCAGTTAGAAGGAAGGTTCATTTATTTTCGACTAGTCCGCAACAGATGATGTTATTGAATTTTCCAAATGGTATAGATTGATTACATGTAAAAAGCGATTAATTGCGGTAAAAATGATGTGGTTTTAATGTTGTTGGTCACCCTTTTTTGCCTCGTGCGCAACCACACCGCTAGCCTTTCTATTTTTTGCGTATACTGGGGGACTATGTACAGGGTACCCTCTACCAGGGCCACAGATTGACTTTTCACAAGATATTCACAGATATGTCTTTAGATAAACAGACGGTCATTCTCTGTGGCTTGTGGAAAATTTGCCTATAATATCTACCACCCTGGTAGCAATGTATTTTTAAAAGTTGAAAATTTAGTGCCAGTTAACGGATCAATAACGGTCTCCTTATACCCCCTTTACACTGGACGGCGTCCTTTCTGCGTCCAGCAGTACGGCCCCATTTGAGAGTTAAAAATTATAATACTTTACGTACCGACAACTGGTCGATCATTGAGCATTCGTTCTGATACAAAATCAATACTCGTGCCTCCTTATTAAGATCACAGCGATGCCAAATTTCATGGTCGCAGAAAGGAGGTTGTAGTTTCAAGGGGGTTTTATGCTCACGAGAGGTTCACAAACACTTGCAATGTGAGTATATGCAACGTTCGCAGACAAGGGATTTTTTAATGCAACTAATGTTAAGTTCCCAGACAAAAGATCAGCATTATGTATACACAATGAAATATAATTTATTCAATAAAAGAACATAATGACAATGCCATAGTCACCTCTATCATCAATGAATTTTTAACTCAAAAACTTAAAAGTACTTTCATCTAGACTTTTTATCATGTAATTCATTTAATTTGTCTTATCATTTTTCTGAATAATGTCATTTGTACAAGATAAACAACACAAAATCTAATCAATCGTTCTATTATCATATGTCAAACAGTGTTCAAAAGCAAATGTTTTCAAAATAGTACCAAGGGTATAGCACCGGGGACTGCACATCGTAATGCCAGCTAGAGTGGGTTCCTGTCAGTCCCCTCAATTATATGAATATTCCTTAAAGAGACATAAGAAAAATACAGGTATACCTTATAAACACTAAATACGACTTGAACATAACAATCACTACACGTTAATAACAAAGAGCCCATCGGTAATTGACACATGACATAGTTACGTTTGGATAATATTGTGTTTTAGTGAATCAGACATATTTAATCGCTGGTGTCAGTGTGCTGTACACATGTTTAATTATAATATTATTAATCATGACAATAATTAATTTCTTTGAAAAGCGTTACACAAACGTACTGCTTACAAATGTACCTTATGCAAATCCTAAGACCCACAATCAAACTAAACTATAAAAAACGTAATATAAGATAAAAGAGACATAAAATTAACCATAAAATCATTTAAATAAAGAAAGTTTACACTAAAAGGAGTTTACGCCACAATCAAAAGACACCCTTGACCACTACCAGTATACAAGAAACTTCAAATTTCCTGGAAATTACATC